AAAATCACTGGATAACTGTTCAAAAGACAGTTTTAACGTGTGAAATGCAGTGTCTTTTAAATTCTGTAAGTGTTGCTAAACGTTTGATATGTCTAGGCATCGAATTAAAAACATTTATTCCTTTATAATATAATGAATTTGGTGAAGCACAAGTCAAGAAATGTGGTGTTCTTATTTCAACCGCGTTTCTAGTATTATATCTATGAAAGTCACTTCCTCTTTCAATTCGATCACACAAATATCGAGGCAGCAAACCGTTAACTACTTTAAAAATGAACACCATAGTCAAATATACAATTCTTTGCTTCACCGACAACCATTGTAAGGCGTCTAACATCAAAGTTGAGGAAGTGAATCTATTACATCTCAAAATCAAACGCATTATTTTATTCTGCAAGCGCTGTAATCTCGATATTTGTGTTACATTGGCCAGAAATAAAATGGAAGGGCAACAGTCTAGATGAGGAGAGATGATTGATTTGTATAGCTGTGTTTTACTGGCAATAGTTAAGTCGTTTTTCAGTTGACATAGAATTCCATACTTCTTGGCAATTTTCTTGATGACATTGTCAATGTGAGAGTTGAACTTAAGTGTGTCATCAATAATGACGCCAAGATATTTAATCTCCCGAACGCGATCAATAGTCTCATCATCAATTACAACAGAGACGTTCTCTTTTACTCGATTCCGCGAAATTACCATAAATTTAGTTTTACTTGTATTCAATTTTAACTGCTTATACTTCAACCATCTACTTAGAGAACGCAAATCTTCATTCAAGTGTAAAACGGCATCATCTAAATCCTTAGCTGCAATGAATAACACAGTATCATCTGCAAAAAGATTAATGTCGCAAAATCATAAAACACGTCGCAAGTCATTAATATACATAATAAATAACAGGGGCCCTAATACACTTCCCTGGGGCACTCCAAGGGTATTCCCCACGGGACTGGAAACAGAATCATTAAAAACAGTCCGTTGAGTTCTGTCAGACAAATAGCTTTCAAACCATTTATATGCAGTACTCGTAATTCCAAAGCGCTTGATTGATCTTAACAATAAGGGCCTAGAAATTGTTTCAAAAGCGCGTTTAAGATCCAAAAAAAACAGCAACAATCGTATCTTTACACTCAAAGTTATTTTTCCACTTCGCTAATACCAAATTCAACGCGGTTTCACGAGAATGACCTTCCCGATATCCCGACTGTTCTGGTATCAACAAACTATTACTATTTAAATACTCCAACAGCTGGCCTTTAACAACAAGTTCTAAATTTTTCTCTAATGTGTGCAACATATTGATGGGACGAAACTCTTCGGCTTTAATCGTTCCAGCAACTTTTTGAATAGGGACCACTAAGGATTCCTTCCAAATTTGTGGCACATGTCCATTCTGCAATGATTCATTAATAAGGTCCAGCAAGATGTGGCCAATGACATGAAAGCAAGCTTGAATAACTCTAGCATTAACATTATCTACTCCAGCCGATTTTCCTAATGAAAAACAAATAACTCTAAGTTCATCTAATGTGATTGGGTGAAAAACTTCAAATCTACAACTACTATTAACTGGCTGTTTTATTTCGTCAGGTTCATCGACCAATTCAATAGATTGATTAATCAATGAAACGCTATCTACGAAATAATCATTAAACTTAGCTGCAATTACTTGTTTTGACTGTTCTAATGTGCCATTAAAAGTTATGGACCGCGGTTTGCAATTACTAGGTTTTAATAAAGATTTCAAAATCTTCCATAACTCTTTGCTGTTATTTTGATGCTGATCAATCTTCCTTTGAACATATTCACAACGAGTTTTCTTTATCGATTGTGAATACTTATTACGCGCGATTGTGTACCTAGTCCAATGATTGTCATTAGAAGGTCCTGAATCGGTGAAATCGGTGTTCAACAGGTCACTACGTATAAAGAGAGAGAGAGGCATTAATTTTACTCCACTAGCTAATCACTTCTGGACTACACGCTCACCTGTTTAAAAGTGAACGATGGCCGTTCGCTGAGCATCGCAGGACCCTTCACCCCATCACCCCATGACTCCGTGTCACCATTTTGTTGTGGTCATGCACGCCTTATTCAACAATCGGCCGTTAAGCATGGCCGTGTCGTCTTCCCAGTGTGACCTCAGATCAAGCTTCACTTCGCCTAACAGTCAAGGACCAATCCCAACCTCTGGTCCGACAGACCACGAAGGAGGTTTGAAACTCGGGGGGTTACCCCTAACCGGAAAGGAAAGGGAGCATCCCCCATTTGGCACGGTCACTCCGATATCGTCATAGGCCGTGTCAATCCTTGCCAACGAGGGAAGACGCCTGGAAGGCTTCCAAGCCACACACGAATGACAAGCCCCGTCGAACCGGCGTGCAGTCAAACCACCATTCCCCATCGTCGACAGCAGTAGCAGCGAGTAATTGCAGTACGTCGCCAGATTGTCGGCATCAGCAGCAACAAAACCAACCCCAACAAAAACAAACAGTAGTTTCCCGCCAATCCATATCTTACCTTTAAGTTCATACTCCGCAATGATCTCTAGTCTGGTGACCGTACACTGCACATCTTGTTCACGAAGTCCCTTGGACTACCAAGTAATAAGTAAACCCTGAAACCCAGCTCGAGGAGTTTCTTGCTACTGCACTTGTCGGTACGAACGAATAGTTAATCGTTATAACTTTAGAACCTAGTTGTACTTTATACCTCAATATTTATGTTGGATTTCCTCATGTCTGGAATAAGTTCAACAAGATGAGAGGCATCTTTTACAGACTATGCTAATGTCGTTTTCGTTTTTACTACACTACACCGGTGTAATGTAAGCAGCAATAAGCACGAGTCACTGACAGTTCATCATCATTTGTTTGTAAACAAAGGTGCAACCGATAGCTACACCCTAAACTTTTTCGGTGTTCGGCGGTGTAGCACCGGTGTAGCTACACCGCAAAAACGAAAACGACATAAGATAAGCTATTTATGTTCACAGGACAGAAACTTATCAAATGTCTGGTCGAGTACCAACATGTATAGTCCTGAAATAACACCACCACATCAAAAATCTTCAACAATAACACTTTAACCAATCGATCCCTGATCTGCCTTGAATCTTTTAATGTTTGAAAACTGTGTTTATATTGAAAACCAAATATGCTGTCAGACGATATTTTCTTTGCTCAGAAAATCGAGACTACTTTGATCATTTTTGAGTAAATGTGAGTAACTCAAATTTACTCGCGGCAAATATATTTACTCTGAGTACAGCTGTCTTGCCCTAGGTAAAAAATGATGAGAGTGTATAATAATTATTGTGAGCGTATAGATCTAACAATGTCTAAATATACATCAGTAAGGAGAACACTAACTGCTAGGATTTCATCTCGTTAAGTTTAAAACAATTTTTATTTTTTAGATATTTGTATATGCAGTCTACATTCACTGACAATTTGAAATAAAACGTATGTTTTAAAAAAGCATGTAAGGCAACAGCACTATTGTAAAACGGTCTACACTGATTGACGACAAATAAATAAATAAATACCGATACTCAGTAATCTTTGAGATTTGATCATATGCGTAGAACAATTTTTTACTTCAAATATGATGTTCTATCGCCCCTTAAATTATTTGCACTAAGGAACCGAACATCCGTATATTTATGTCATTTCCATGTTTTTCAACGAAATTCGTTTATAGCTTTCCAACATTAAGAGATAGCAACTTGATTGCTTCTGCTAAAATGTTTGTCATCAAAAGCTCTGAAAATGACTGCAACAAATCACTTACGAGAAATCAAAGTTAGTTTTATAAAAACTAGAACCATTAAAGATATAAAATTGATTTTTTCAAATAAATAGTTCTACATCTTTGTGCAGCTCACTTTTTTTTATAAATGGATTAAACAAGGTACTTCCTTCATAAAAAATGTGCTACTTAATGAGTTTTAAAAAAGTGTAGAAGACAACTTTCTCGTATAATTTGAAATGAAAGAGTTATGCTAAAAAAACTATTTTTTAAAGATATTCTCTATCTTAAATCATAAAAAAACTACTATAAAACATTAACCATAAGTTTAACCTCTATTGTCTCTTTAGCAAAGTTTCTTGAAATTACGAGAACTACAACTTTGTAGAATGTTCCATCATGCTATAATCAGCAATCAAAAAGTTAAATTTTTATTTTCATCATATTTGGGACCACCCTATTTGCATCATTCATCCGAATAAAGGCCTCACACAAGGTAACGTTGCAAATTAAGGCCCAACATAATTGTTTCCTCCTAAATTTCCTTTCTGGACCACTGTGCACCGTGCAAAACTGGGAGTGAGCAAGTGAACGAATGGTGGTGCCCGTCAATCGATCAACTGTTGTTTGATAATGTTGCACCATGTGGGCTGCGGGCCTCGAAAGACGTGGGCCACACACGCACACGTACGGAAGTAAAAGCAATGGAAATTTAATGAAAATGGCTACCAGATGGGATCGAAGATTGATTGATGCGGATATTTCACACCGTTCGGATCTGATCAGCGTCAGTGCATTGACTGCACGTGCTCGGACCTTGCGATATGCTACGGTTTTGGGAAATCTATTACAGCATTATAATGTCCCGTGGTAATTTCCGTTGGAATTGTCTGGAACGTCTGAAACCTCCTCTGTGGGACACGCCAGAGGTGCAGTGAGGGTTTATTGCACCCTGGGATTTTATTCCCGAGAAATCGACGACTAAAGCCATTGTTTACAAAAGCAATTTGAGACCTGCCGGAAGCTATTTTTCCCAAAAGGTGGCCAACTGCGACTGAACAACTTTTCCAAACACACAAAGAAATCATCTCTTCAACTTGTCACCTTTCGCAATTGTGATATTTCGTCAAGAATTCGAAATCAAGTAAATCGCATTCTAAAGCAAAAAAGTTCTCAATTCTCCCATGTACTTCAACACAATTCATTATATTAACCCGAACATCCTTATTTCTTCTCCCATTTCCAGCACCGCGCCATCTCTATGACAGCACGATAGCAGCACCGTTTTCACCCACCTCCCCCCCTCCCCCCGGCATCTCCTCTACGCTGCACCAATGGACAAGCTAGAGCTCGAGATACGGAAGGAGATCGACGAGCTGAACACCAGCGTGTCGCTTATCGATCGCCTCGACTCGAGCGACACGATGGACGACGAGAAACAGGAACAGCTGCTCTCGTCAACGCGGGCCGTGTTCGACAACGTCAACTCGAGCCACGCCAAGAACAGCCTGACGGATTCGCAGATTTCGATCATTTCGAAGCATGACGGCTATCCGGACTCGGGACACTTTTACGCAACGCCACTGACACCGACGTCCGACGACAGCAGTGGGGACTGCTGCGACAAACGCGGGACCACAACGTCGATGTCCGACGGGGACAAGACTCTGATGACCGACAGCAGCCGGATGATGCGAGTTGCCAGCGACACTAGCAGTAAGGACACCAAAGTAGATTCCAGCACCAGCTGCACCGATTCGAGCAAGTGCAAGATGAAGCAAAAGAAAGATTCCAAGAGTGACAAGAAGGCAGCCTCCGCGACAGCGGCGGCGGCCAAACACAAGAAAGCTGCTGCTGCGGCAGCGGCAGCCGCCGGTATCAAACTGCCCGGCGCTGATCAGTATTCACCGAACGGAGGCAATTCCTCGTTAGTCAGCTTTCTGTTTCCACCGGGCTCTCCGCATCTGAAAAAGAAGAGCCTTCCGTCCATGGTGGTACTCGGGGTGCTGCAGCTGCTGTTCAGCGTAACGCTGGCGGCACTTGGTGGTCTGGTGCTGGCCAGGAACGCCTCACTGGCCATGGCCGGAACGGGATTGTGGTGCGGTGCCATTTCCGGAATTGCCGGCTCGCTGGGGTTGATGAACGTCAAGATGGCCAAGACGGGCTTCCTGGCGGTGAACCTGATCTGCGTTGCGTCCAGCACGCTCGGCCTGGCCCTAACTGGGATCGGTGCCGTGCGCGATGCCAACCTGGCTCAGCAGGATGAGGTGAGTTTGGCCGGAGGGAGTTCGATTGGTTGTGGTTTTTGATTCTGGTTTTTTTTTCGATTTTTCTTCCTTTCTCGACAGTCGGTTTGGTTCGCAGTGACAGCAGGTTCGGGACTACTGACGGCGCTGGCGTTGCACTTTCTCGTTAGTGTCTTTTCGGTGTACTACTCGGCGCTGAAGTTATGCTCCAGGTAAGTGGATGATTGTGGAAGGAATCTAGCGCCATGTTGGGGCAATCATTGGATAAGAATGAGCATATTTTCCAGAAAACAAGTGCAATGATTATTCTACAAACTTAGGGGGCACCTTCTTTTTGAAAAATTGCTTTTAGAACTGGACTTGATTTGTTTTCCGTCTGAGTATCAATGCTACCGACGCCTGAAAGGCAGCTCCCACACCTGGACCCTACCCATCACTCATGGACCGGGACCAACGGCTTTACTTCCCTACGAAAGGAAGGCGTGATCAGAGATTTTATGCCTCAGTAGATCCCGGCGGCGCCGACTGGGATTGAACCCAGGCCCTTTTGGGTGAGAGGCAATCACGCTTACCACTACACCATCGGCGCCGCTAGGAACTGTACTTAGCTATTATTGCCTTTGTAGCCCTGAATCCCAGGGATGCCAAGTGTATTTAGAAAAACAAAATCTTCAACGAAATGGACGAGTGGGTGAGGCTATTCAGTATTTCAGATACTTAAAACTGAGCCTTTACAACTTCTAATAAGTCAAGGGAAACGTAGAAGTTAAGGAAACATCATTTGATCACATCAACATCAACTTCAAGGCACTTTGCAAATCTTCACGGAACTTCAGGTAACTTCGTAGAAGTTCAAAGATTTTCGTTAAAGATCAGAAAACTTGCATCAAGTTCTGTAAAAGTTCAGCGAACATTTTAAAAGCTCAGCGCGATCTTTGTAGAAGTTCAGAGCGATCTTTGTAGAAATTCAGAGCGATCTTTGTAGAAGCTCAATGCGATCATTTTAGAAGCTCAATGCGATCTTTGTAGAAGTTCAGGGCGATCTTTGTAGGAGTTCAGAGCGATCTTTGTAGAAGTTCAGCGCGATCTTTTTAGAAGCTCAGCGCGATCTTTTTAGAAGCTGAATGAGATCTTTGTAGAAGTTCAGGGTGATATTTGTAGAAGTTCTGTGCGATTTTTGTAGAACTTCAGCGCGATCTTTCTAGAAGCTGAATGCGATCTTTGTAGAAGCTCAGCGCGATCTTTGTAGAAGTTCAGCGCGATCTTTGTCGAAGTTCAGAGCGATCTTTGTAGAAGTTCAGCGCGATCTTTGTAGAAGTTCAGGGCGATATTTGAAGAAATTCAGCGCAATCTTTGTAGAAGTTCTGTGCGATTTTTGTAGAAGTTCAGCGCGATCTTTTTAGAAGCTGATGCGATCTTTGTAGAAGCTCAACGCGATCTTTTTAGAAGCTCAGAGCGATCTTTGTAGAAGTTCAGCGTGATTTTTGTAGAAGTTCAGAGCGATCTTTGTAGAAGTACAGCGCAATCTTTGTAGAAGTTCAGGGCGATCTATGTAGAACCTCAGCGCGATCTTTGTAAAAGTTCAGAGCGATCTTTGTAGAAGCTCAATGCGATCTTTTTGGAAGCTCAATGCGATCTTTGTAGAAGTTCAGGGCGATCTTTGTAGAAGTTCAGAGCGATCTTTGTAGAAGCTCAATGCAATCTTTGTAGAAGTTCAGGGCGATCTTTGTAGAAGTTCTGTGCGATTTTTGTAGAAGTTCAGCGCGATCTTTTTAGAAGCTCAACACGATCTTTGTAGAAGTTCAGGGCGATATTTGAAGAAATTCAGCGCAATCTTTGTAGAAGTTCTGTGCGATTTTTGAAGAAGTTCAGCGCAATCTTTTTAGAAGCTGAATGAGATCTTTGTAGAAGCTCAGCGTGATCTTTGTAGAAGTTCAGAGCGATCTTTGTAGAAGGCCAGCGCGATTTTTTTAGAAGCTCAACGCGAACTATGTAGAAGTTCAGGGTGATATTTGAAGAAATTTAGCGCAATCTTTGTAGAAGTTCTGTGCGATCTTTGTAGAAGTTCAGCACGATCTTTGCAGAAGTACAGCGCAATCTTTGTAGAAGTTCAGGGCTATCTTTGTAGAAGTTCAGAGTGATCTTTGTAGAAGCTCAATGCAATCTTTGTAGAAGTTCAGGCCGATCTTTGTAGAAGTTCAGCGCGATCTTTTTAGAAGCTCAACGCGATCTTTTTGGAAGCTCAGGGCGATATTTGAAGAAATTCAGCGCAATCTTTGTAGAAGTTCTGTGCGATTTTTGTAGAAGTTCAGCGCGATCTTTGTAGAAGTTCAGCGCGAACTTTTTAGAAGCTCAGGACGATCTATGTAGAAGCTCAGCGCGATCTTTGTAGAAGTTCAGAGCGATGTAGAAGCTCAGTGCGATCTTTGTAGAAGTTCAGGGCGATCTTTGTAGAAGTTTCGCGCGATCTTTTTAGAAGCTCAACGCGATCTTTTTAGAAGCTCAAGGCGATCTTTGTAGAAGTTCAGGGCAATATTTGAAGAAATTCAGCGCAATCTTTGTAGAAGTTCTGTGCGATATTTGCAGAAGTACAGCGCAATCTTTGTAGAAGTTCAGGACGATCTATGTAGAAGCTCAGCGCGATCTTTGTAGAAGTTCAGAGCGATCTTTGTAGAAGCTCAATGTGATCTTTTTAGAAGCTCAACGCGATCGTTGTAGAATTTCAGCGCGATCTTTTTAGAAGTTCAGAGCTATCTTTGTAGAAGTTCCGCGCGATCTTTTTAGAAGCTCAACGCGATCTTTTTAGAAGCTCAACGCGATCTTTGTAGAAACTCAGGGCGATATTTGAAGAAATTTAGCGCAATATTTGTAGAAGTTCTGTGCGATCTTTGTAGAAGTTCAGGGCGATCTATGTAGAAGTTCAGCGCGATCTTTGTAGAAGCTCAGTGCGATCTTTGTAGAAGCTCAGCGTAATCTTTGTAGAAGCTCAGCGTAATCTTTGTTCCGAGGTTCCACGAACTTTGTAGAAGTACAGTGAAGTTTGTAGAAATTAAACGAACTTTGTAGAAGTTCAGGACGATATTTGAAGAAGTTCAGCACAATCTTTGAAGAAGTTCAGCGTGATCTTTGTAGAAGTTCCACGATCTTTTTAGAAGCTCCACGAGTAGAAGTTTAGCGAGCTTTATAGATATTTAGCGAACTTTGTAAAAGTTCAGCAAACTTTATAGAAAATCAGCGAACTTTTTAGAAGTTCAGTGGAATCTTTGTAGAAGTTCAGTGCGATCCTTGTAGAAGTTCAGTGCAATCTTGGTAGGAGTTCATTGTGATATTCGTAGAAGTTCAGAGCAATCTTTGTAGAAGTTCAGCACGCGCTTTGCAGAAGTTCAGCACAATCTTTGCAGAAGTTCAGCACAATCTTTGTAGAAGTTCAGCGCGATCGTTGTAGAAATTCAGCGTGATCTTCATAGAAGATCAGTGCGATCTATATAGAACTTCAGTGCGATCTTTGTAGAAGTTGAATGCGAATTTTGTAGAAGTTCAGCGATTCAGGATAGTTCCATGAGGTGATCGAGAACCCATAAGATGTTCCGAAAGAATCAGTACAAAGACTTTCAGAAATATTTCAGGAACTTCACAGAAATCCAGAGAATTCCAGGGATGTTTAAAGGTGTTTACGAGAATTCCATTTATTTTAAAGCAGAACCAAGAACTTCATTAGAGTTGAGAGTTTTTGGGAAGCTCCGAGAGCAAACTTTGTACAAGCTCAGCAAACTTTGTAGAAAATCAGTGAACTTTGTAGAAGTTCAGCGCAAACTTTGTAGAAGTACAGCGTGAATCTTCATAGAAGATCAGTGCGATCTATATAGAAGTTCAATGCGATCTTTGTAGGACGATTAGATAACATCAGAAAAAATCCCATTAACTTAAGAAAATTTGCAGCGACTTACAAAGAGTTCCTTGGAATTATGTGATATTCCGAGAATTCCATGATAGATTCGTGGAATTATAAATATATATCGGAAAATTTGCCGGAACATTTGTTAAATTTAGAGAAATTAAAGTAAGCACTTCAGGGCTGGGAAAATAATTGATTTAAGACAATGTTCCGTGAGTGTTTATAAACTTTATAAAACTTAAGGAAAATTGTAGAACTCAAAGGCAATTCAATCAATTCCAGTAAAATTATGGGTTCTTTTAAAAAAATACTAAGATATTCAGAGCAGTCTACAGAGTTTTAAGGAATCTAAGAAAAATTCTGGGCAGTTTTAAAAACATCAGAAAACTCTAGACTATTGAAGAAGTTATGAATTAGTTTTGATAATTTGAAAGCTTCAGACAAATCTTGCGAACTTCAGTGAAAATCATAGAACTATATTGATTATTTCGCTGCGGAAGCTTAAAGAAGTTTCTGAAATTTCAGAATAACTTCGAAAATTTCACAGAAATACAGAGATCTTCAGAAACATTTCGAGAACTTCATAAAAGTCTATGGAACTTAAGGGAAGATCCGAGGGGGGCGATTCTATCTAAGATGCTGGAAAAAATGGTTTGCTGTTGTGAGATACGCGCACGCTAAGTAGATAGAAAGAAGATTGGTGAAGATTTTAAAGATTTCCTGCAAAAAGGTGGAAAGCGATGTGAGTAGATGACTTAAGATGCAAGAGATGCGCTTGTGTGAGATTTTTCAACCATCAAAAAATTGAGATTTAGATGTGTCGCACCCCCAGGGAAGATCCGAAAACTTCAGGAACTTTTATGGACATTTCGGGAGCATCTCAAATAAGTTTAGTAATGCCCCAAAAACAAAGGAAATTTCAGGGGAGTTCAGTTCCATTAGTTTCGCTAAATTAACGGGAAATTTCAAGAAGTTCCCAGATTTTCAGAGAACTTTAGAGATGTTAAGAACATTATTGAGGTGTTCACATATGTAAGTCCAGAAGTTCACGCAAGCTAAAACATTTTTAGAACAATTCAATTAAATTCATGGTAGTACAACAGGCTTCATGAGAACTGCAAACACTTAAGAGAAGTTTCGAGAACTTCGAGAAAGGTATTGATCTCCCTAATAAAGCTCTTAACAAAAAAACAAAACTTCAAGAAAGAACAGATATTCTCAGAGCAGCGACATTACATAAAATTTCAAAAAGTTTCGAGAAATTCAGTGAATTTTTAACACAGATTAATGATCGTTAGGAAAATTGTGGAATCTTTAGGAAGTCCGAAAAAGTTTAGAGAAGTTAAAAAAAATGATGAGAAGTATTGCGAGCATAATGCTAGTTTCTCAAACTACAAAAGAACTTCCAGGCAATTTAATTAACTTCAGGAATATTTTGGGAACTTTCAAGTAGTTCTGAAGACCTCAGAATAGTGCATTCCATATTCAACGGAGATTTCTCATGAAAATTCGCTAGGAGTTTACTATCTTAGGTTTAGGCCAAAGGGTGAGTAACTCAGCACATTGTGACGCAATTAGATTCGGCACAGCTTGGGCGCATCTATCGGCACACCTTCGGCACAGTCTCGAAGGCATTTGATTGATGTAAAAAAATTAGAGTCACTGAAGTTGTTCGCAACAGAACGGAGAACGTAATAATTTCGGGCCACTTGGAGAAAGCATCTACCATGACGAAATAGTAGTATCCATGGATCGGACCAGCAAAATCGATATGGACACGTTGCCATGGCTTGTCCGGGAGAGGCCATGACTCCAAGGTTGCTTTTGTCGGGGACTTCGCTGCTTCAGCACATGCAGTGCACTGACGGACAAATTGCTCCACATCGTCGTCAACGTTAGGCCAGTAGATGTAACTTCGGGCCAGAGACTTCATTCGGTCCATTCCTGGGTGTGCACGATGCAGTTGACGAACGATCCGCTTTCGAAACTTTGATGGGACGACGATTCGATCGCCGAACATAACGCAGTTGTCGACAACTTGAAGTCCATCTCGTCTGGCGAAGAACTTCTTGACATCAGGATCAGCAACTTGTTTCGCATTTGCTGGCCAACCTTCGTTAAGGAAATTCACCACTTGCTGAAGAACTGGATCCTTTCGCGTCTCAGCCACTATCATCTGGTGCGTGACTGCTTTTGCTTCAGATTCGACGCACACGGCGACTATGACGTAATCCTCATCTGGTCTATGCTGCGATGACATTAGCCGGGATAGAAAATCTGCATAGCCAAAATTCGTCGATGAAACGTGTTGGATGTCGAAATCGTACAGCAGAAGTGTCAAGGCCCAGCGCTGCAAACGGTTTGCTGTGTAAACAGGAATACCTTTCTTTGAGCCGAAAACCTTGAGTAGCGGTTGATGATCGGTTTGCAGGAGGAAGTGTCGTCCATACAGCATTTTGTGGAAACGGAGGCTGTCCAGAGGAGCCCTGAGTTGCTTCATCTGCTTAACGAATCTACCATAGTAGTTGACAGCACCGAGGTAGGAACGGAGTTGCTGGACATCCTTCGGAGACTGCATCTTGGAAATGGCTTCTGTTTTTGAAGGGTCAGGCCGAATACCGTCCTTATCCACGATGTGTCCGAGAAACTTGATCTGGGAGAGTGCGAAACGACATTTTTCGAGGCGTAGGTGAAAGCCATACTCACGGATCTGCTCGAGAACAGCGTAGAGACTGCGATCGTGTTCCTGCTTGGTGCGACCAGCGATGAGGATGCCGTCCAACTACGGCTTGACTCCAGGGATGCCGGCCACCATGCTGTCGATGATGCGCTGGAAAGCGCCGGGTGCCGACTTGACTCCGGGGGGTAGTCGGTTTTACTGGAACAGTCCACGATGCGTGTTGAGCGTGAGTAGCTTTCGCGATTCCTCCTCGACCTCGACCTGTAGGTAAGCGTCAGACAAATCGAGATGAGTGAAGTAACGTGCTCCAGCTAGTTCCGCAAAGAGGTCGTCAGGATGAGGCAGTGGATGATGGTCACATTCTAACGCGTTGTTCAGCCCCGTCGAATAATCGCCACATACACGGACTGATACATTGTCCGACTTGCGTACGACGACTATTGGTGCTGCCCAGTCCGAGAATTGAACTGGAGAAATTATACCGTTTTGCTGGAGCCTCTCAAGTTCTGCGTCCACCTTGGCGAGTGCAGCGTACGCTACTGGTCGTTTCGAGCAATATGCAGGACGTGCGTCAGGCTTGAGGTACAACTTCACTTGCGCTTTTGTGCATCTACCAAGCGTGCTTCGAAAAACTTCCGGAAACTGTTGCTTGAGTTGATTGGTGAACTGATCAGAACGTTGGTGTACGACGTTGACCAAGCTGCTTATCGGCACAGACCACAAATCGAACAGATCCATAGTCTCGATTCCTAGAACGTTGAGTTCAGCGCTGCTTGAGATGAAAATGCGACCAGTCTTGGTAACATTCTTGATGGTGATCTCGGTCTGGAACTCAGCGAGAAGGTTGAGATTGCCACCAGAAACTGTAACTGCAGATTCTTCCGTCGGTTGAGTGGGTGGCTGTCCGATGCTGATCCATGTTTCTTCTGAGATTATGGTGATGTCGGACGCCGAGTCGTGTTGACGTTTGACTGCTACACCATTGAGCTCGACCGGCATGAACTTCCGCTTGCTTCCGATGTTGCGAACCGTGTAGATGCTTTTTGTCTTCACGTTCTCTTTGGATTTGGCCTGTTTGAACGGTTTCGACGGCGCATTCTTGTTGCTGTTGCAATAACCTTTCTGTGTCCTTGCATCTGGAAAAGGTGTGCCAAACGAACGGACACTCACGAACATAGTGCTGGTCGCCACACTTCCAACATGGCGTTTTCGGCACTTTTTGGTTCTTTTTTGAGGCAGGATTATTCTGGTTGCGAGAAATAATGTTGACGTTGCGTGCTTCTTTGTTCTCCACCATCAATGTGTCTTGCTTGAGATTGGCCACGCGATGGCATTCTTCGACGAGGTTCTCCAGGGTTACCTTGCTGGTGGCTTCTCCCAATTCGTTGACTGCGGTTTCGTCGGCTTCCAATTTCGAGATCAACCTAGCTCGTATGTCCGCATCCCGTGGCGATTGGAGTCCACAGACGAAACGGAGAGCTTTGAATTGGTCCGGTGTGAGCTTGGACAGCTGAAACGCTTCACAGTGTTTGTTCACCATGGCAGCATATGATGTGAAGTCATCCGCGTCACTTTTTGCATACTGGAGGCACTGGTAACGGGAATGAAAAATCGACTTTTGTCGACCGAACAGTTTCGTCCAGGGTGAAGTCCCAGGGATGCTTGGGAAGAATGGTGTTGACGTACTTCTCGTGCAGAGGCGTGCTTAACTTGCGAAGAAGCAATCTCACACGAGCGGCGTCATCCAGGGATTCCTCCGTCCGGATCGTACTAGAAATCCTGGATCCCGCTTGCCAAGGACTCAATAATCTTCTTACTGCCAGCAGACGGATTTCCCCGATTTTCAATTTGGTGCTGCTGCCTCGTGATGAGATTCGTGGCAGTTCCGAAGATCCTCGTCAGACATTTTCTTGCTTCGAGGTTCGAGGTGCTTCCAAAATTTTCCTCGTCGCCAATTGTTATATCCGTAACCAAGGCCAACAAGTAAAACAAGCTGTTGTTAAGAGCTACTATCTATTACGTCTATCTTGGTTGGTGGTCGGATAAAGAATCAATCTCTAACTTATGACAGTCAGGCAAGGCCTACTACATCTAGGCCTACTACAATTCAAAAGATCTCCAGCAGATCGAAGACATCAGTTAAGACCTCCTTCAAGACTTCAGGTTGATCAAGTATCTGAAGATTTTGAACTGTACAATGAAGTTAAAACACGTCTTCTAGATGTTCTCCCAAGGTTGATGGTTGCCCGGATTAATATCCTGTGAATTATTTAAAAGATCTCCAGCTGATCAAACGTTTCAACAAAGTCCACTGGTCAATTTCTCAAGACTTCAGTACGCACCTAACCTACTTCGAAAACAAGCTCGAGTGTCGCGATTTTCGGTCGGTCAAACATGAATTAAGGATCTTCTAAATGGGAAATTTCGAAGCTTCATTGAAACCCAACCAAACCCACCAGTCAAGGAGTTTAAATAAATTTTATATTTAGCTATTTCTTTCATCATAATATTTTCAGAGCGAACAATAGCTTATTGGTTACTGTTTGATCATTTCCGCTAATTTTTCTGTCTGGGTGTGTGTGTGTGTGTGTGTGTGTGAGTGTAATAGTAATTGTAGTAGTAGCAGTAGTAGTCTAAGATCACTAAACATAGGTGCTATTTTCATCTTTAATCACGGTTCAACCGCGCGACGCACGGCAACGATCAGCTGGGCTTTCGTCCAACGAGAAGCGCGGCGTTTCGAAGCGATTGCTATCAAACATTTTCTAAACTTCTTGGAATAAAAATAAAATCACGTTTCTATGTCGAGGAAAGGATAGTAGTAGAGCCCGTACAATCGTTCGTGTGAACGTTACTGTTGTTAAGTAGTAAAATCCTGCGTTCTGTGATGTTCTACTTGGGTAAAACGGCAGCATCCTCGTCGGCAGCCGTCGGCAAGGAGCTAATATCATTGTTGCTGGGTGGCTCCCGGGCATCCTCCAGGGGATCGGAATCGGATGATGAACTCAGATGGTTCAGTTCCCCTGCGATAGCTTCTTCTGCTGTGACTACCGCGCTTGTGGGCACCGGAGCCGGTTTGGGTCTCTGGAGGGACCGCTTCCACTCGAGGTACTCCAAGTAGTACTGATAGACAGGAATGACGATGACGGAGATGTCATCGACGGTGGCAGCCGCCCGGGAATCGGACAACCTCCAGTGGCCGTTGATGTTGGCCCGGCCACGTGACTTGGCGACCAGTTCCTGGGCGGCCATGGTGTACCGATGCCGTTCGGTAGGGAACTTCTTCAGCGTGGAAAACACCGCATTGGATACTTTCTGCGAGTAGGTCACATCCCAGAGCCCATCCGTCGCCATGACCAGAACGCCGTAGTCTCCGTCGACGTTGTCCTCGGTCGGATCGGTTTCGATCTTACTGAGGTCTATGCACACCACTTCCGGGTGGCAGCTGAGGAATGGTTTGATCGGTAGTCCACTGCCCAGGGCTTTCAGATCGTGATCACCAAAGCCCCGCGTTACGCCGATGGTGCCGAGTAGGCGACTTCGTTTGCCTTCTCCCGTGACGATCGGCATTTTGAGATCGTTTCGGGTCAACGTTTTGTAGGTCCATCCTTTCATGGTTCCCTGTCGGTAGAGGATCCGGGTGCCCAGATCTTTCGTCATCGGTTTCTTGGCGTATTCCATCGCGACATATTCGCCACCCATCAGGTTTGGATTGAGCTTCCCAATGGAGAGTAACCGGGGCCGCTCCGTCTCCGGAGTGTGGTCAAATGAGCAGGGTTCAGCGTACACTAAATAGTCGTCGTCTTCTTCCTCCGTTACGGCGTCTCCGTTCACGACTTCCTCGTGAACCGCGGGAGGTCGCACGTTCGGAAGCTTCTTCCGGTGAACTCGCTTGCAGAGGATACCTCGGGAATCTCCAGCGTTGGCTACGAATAGCTTCCCAAGGATGAACAACGCTACCAGAGCTGTACAACCGCCGGCGTTTCGGTACTTATCCCGATCTTCTGCCAGCATGGCGTCCATGTCGGCAAAAGCTGCTTCCAGGGCACCGACAATTAGCTCGTCCTTGGATACTTGCTTGTGAAACAGGATCGGATGCGGTAGGATTGCATTCAAGCCTACTCCCATTCCGGTTGCAACCGGATCGTCTTCTTCCATCCGTGGCATCAACAGATCGATGATGTCCACCAGTTTTTCATGCAAGATATGGTGAAATTGGTTGGAGGCAGCCAGTGCCGCTCCGTAACCAGCGTGCCCATCGTAGATCCCAAAGTACGTGTACGGTAGATCGTGGTACTGTTTGGATGGATGCGATAGGACCTGCCGGTGGAACGCCGCCTGGTCCTCGTTCCATTCGGATTTGCCCGAGTTGACACACTCTGCGTAACCGGTACTCCACGGCAGCAGAGAGATGTCCCTCGGGACGATTATCGGCCGCACGTTGTGGTCGGCACTGGCCTTCAGCTCGTCGTACGTCAACAACTGCAGAAACTGCGGCCGCGCGTAACGGAACTTTTCCGGTAGATTTCCTAAGGTTGGTAGTTTGTAAATGAAAAGACTTTGCCTCACACCCCTTGCCTCCCATTAAAACTCACCTTTACCACCATGATCTCCATCCCGGCTATGACCGTGATATCCACTGCTACTGCTGCTACCCCCTCCCGATGACGGAAGTGCAGGCAGATCCGGCCCGACCACCGTCATCATCCGGTTCTTCAGCCGATTGAACATTCTCCCCTTCAGCCGCTCACCACCACTATACTCGTCGCCAATTTGTTAAAATCACACCACCCTCGTCAGTCGCTTGCTTTCCTACAAAGCAAAGCAAATCAATTCGCCGAAACAAACGAACAACAGAGACGGTGAGAGATCGAAAATGAAGCCAGTTCCGTAATCATCACTGCTGCTTGGAAATGTTTTCTCCTTCTACGCCACTGTTTAATGCCGTACACAGTTACTTACCATCGAGCGTAGCCCGCACTCTATAGCGCAAAAATCGTAAACTTCCTGTTTGTCCAGAGCAATTATCGCAGCAGAAAAAAAAACCAACCGTATCGAGATAAGGTCGTCGTTGTCGTCGTCTTCCTCTTCACTCCTACATCTTCCTGTAATCCGCGGTGGTGAAATCCATGCAAAAATCGATATTATTTTCGTGAAAAAGTAGACAGCTATTTTTGAACTTGCGAGTAGAGGATACGTACACATATGTCGCTGCTTACTCACTTACCTGTTCGGAACACCAGCAGGAGTTTTTCGCCAATTTCCTTCCGCCGCGCGCTACTGCTACTGACCCCGCACAGGATTAATGCACCGTCAATTTCGGTGTAAAATGAACCAACCAACACTTTTGCTTATGCACATCAATCTATATACTAAAGAGAGCGAGCAGAGCAGAGGCAGAGACGAAACCAACGAGCGAACGGTGATGTTTTGATGGGATTTCCAGTTTTCTTTTTTCGCGATGCAGTCATGGTTTTGACAGTTTGTTCGGTTGTCAAAGAGCGGCCGACTTCACTGTTCATGTGATGGCCGTTGTGCGGCGCTAGTGGTGGTGAGTTGGCGCTCGGAGTTGTCGGAGTTGTGGGTCGATAGGGAAGTGTGGGTTCGGTCGAGGAAAGCTGAAGCTGTGGGATTTTTCGATAAATATTTCAATATATATAAATATTTATGAGGCGTACACTAGACGTTCGGTCACTGAAATACGTTTACTAGAAAACCAAAGAATCGATTTAATTTTTCCTCTTCCGAATTCCATGAAACTTCGCATAATGGATCAATGAAAATGCTGAGGTTTTGACAGAACTGTGCTGTGGCTACCACATTTAATCGTCTATATACAATAGCGCCAAAAGCATGCTGTGGTGGGTTCAAAACTTGACCATCTAAATCAAATACACCCACACTTTGACATTCTCTACTATGCGAGAGAGAATGGCTGCGTACTATCTAAATTTTGTCCTCTCTTGATGCTTACCAAATAAGGTATTAAAATGTTATCTTATTTTTTGAAAATCTGGATTGAATCGCGTATCATCCTCGATGGAGCTTTACTGTCCTGAGAGTACCCGTAGCTTTTAACAATAGGTATTCTAAATTATTCCAGAATTTGCATGTACGAAACATCTCTCAAGATTCTTTTGTTTTTTTTAAATCATGAATTTGTAGATTTTGCGAACTATAACTAGTATTGAACAACTTTTTTCCTTTCAAAATCCTCCCCTCCCTCAGACCATCGCAAAAGTCCCAACTGATCGAGAACGTCATCAACAGTAGCTCGCACGGTTCGCAGGCATTCATGTCCCAGCAGAAGGTCGAAGACTACATCAACTCGCTGCAGGTCGATCCCTCCATCAAGGATATGATGTACCAGACGATGCTGAAACGGGGCTACGGTTCCGTTTACGGCGAGAAGCATCGCTCGGACACGTTCAGCAATGGTACCGGTGCCGGTTCCCGGCCGGTCATGCTGGTTCCGGCCTGCGCTGGCAACGGGGTAGGTGACTTTCTTTGTTCGTACCAAAAACCCATATTTACTACGATTTCGTTTCAGCTTCAACAGATGATGCAGATGTACCCATCGTCTCCGCCTCCACCAGGTAGTGGTGGCCCCCCGATGATGTTCCCCTCGAACCTGATGCCACCGGGAGTTCCCCAATATCCTCCGATGTACCCGGACACGGCCATGCTCGAGGCGCACATAGCTCGCGTGAACCGGAAACGCTCGGTGCGTTCCAGCTCGGAGCAGGAACAACAGCCACCGGAGGAAGTGGACGAGCGACACCGTCACCGTCACCATCGAAGCGAAGGTCACCAAAATCAGGAAAAGACATTCACCTACACCGGTCTGGATAGGGATATTGCAGACAGCTACCTGGCGAAGGAGGAGGAAAAGCTGAACAGTAGCAGTATTGTGAGTACTGCCACCGCTGGCGGCGGTGGCGCTGTTGCTACTCTGAATCGTCCCGGTAAGGAAGGTGGTGATCGAGCCAACTCGCCACCCCTGACCTATCATCACGATCTGATGCTGATCGACCATCGACACCACTTTGAACGCTACCAGGATGTGCAAATGTAACTGCCGATACACCGGAGATTGGAGAAGAAAGAAAAAGGATTCGAGTCTTTGCTAGCACGTAAGTCATTCATAGAACGGTAAGGAACATCTGCTCAAGTTGATTTTAACGCGACCCATTACGGAATTACTTGTGTATAGATCTGTGTACATTTTATTGTGTTTTAAATATAAAACTATTAAATTATTAGAAAGAACAGAGGCTGAAGATGATTCAGAAGTCTTCGTCACTCTGGTCTTGCTTGGCGCTCCGCGCCAGGTTGGAGTTTTCCCTCGTCAGCTTGGTCAGACTCTCGTCGTCTTCATCGTCGTCGTCGTCGTCTTCATCCGAACGGAGCTCGTCGATAACTGCAATAAAACCAAAACACAAACAATCATTGACTAGCCGGATTCACTCTATATCACATCTCCTTACGTCCGTTTCCGTCCATCTCCAGATCGCTTTCCGACTCTGCCGAACTTCCAAGCGAGCTATCCAGCGGTCCGAGATCGTCATTCATTCCGCCAATCATCCGAGCACGATCTATACCACTCATCGCGGACGGACCTCCTTCTGCGTTCCGGGTGCGAAACCGGGTTGAACCTCGATCCCTATTCAACAGTTCGCTTCGCAGCACCCGCTTGTCGGATTTCAGTTTTACGTCTTCCCTCTCGTCAAAATCATCGATCTCGTCCTCGTTCTCATCGTCCGAATCCATCAGTCCTTCCGGCAGGATCGTCATACTGCTGTCCGCCATCTTGGCAATCGGCGAAGTAGGCGTCGGAGTGCGATTTTTGCTGATTAACTGCGATTTCAACGCGTCCACGCACCGAATCCGTATTATGTACTGCTCGTACAAATTCTTCAGTTCGATTTCCAACTTTTCAAACTCCTCCAGGTAAGCCGGACGAACCTTCTGCAGAGCTTGCAGTCGTTGTTTGGATCGCTCCAGCTCCGATGACTTTCGCTGGATCTTAGAAGTTAGATTACCACTCTCAGCCTTCAGGCTCTCCAGTGTTGCCTTCGACGTGACCAGCTTGGAGTCCAACGAAGTGATCGCCGATTTGATCACCTTCTCCACCGTTGCCAACTCGAGCGGACGAGTCGATTGGAGCGTACGGGTTTCCCTATTGACCAGTTCCTTCTTCAGCAGATCATACAGCGCAGCACCGCGGTTCGTCAGCTCCGATGACAGTCCGCGAACCTTCTTCAAATCGTCCATCTTGTCAGACAAATCGATCTCGACATGCGACTTGATCGACTCCTCGTCGGTCCCCGTCACCTTGGGTGACGCAATCAGCAAGGACGTGACCTTGAGTAGTTCCTTGGCGGCGGCAGCCGAACTGGCGTACAGTTTCCGAGGATTGATCTTGATGCTGGATTTCGTTACCAGGAATTCGGTGGCCGACCGTACGAACAGGATACGGTCCTGTTCGTTGCGGGTGCCCCCGGCCAGGGTCAGGTTTGGCTCGAGCCGACCGATCAGCCATGTCAGGATGTCGTAGTAGGCTTTGAAGCTTTCCGGGCCTCCGTAGGGAGTGTTCAGCACCGACAGCGGGATGTTGTTCGGGTAGCCCAGGAGCTTGAGGTGCTCGGAGAGGTCTGGAAGGAAAGATGAGAATGAGATTTAGGGAGGTTGGACAATCTTGCTTACCATATGCTAGGAGGTTGCAGTAACCATAGTACTTGATCTACCTGATGATGTATGTAAGGCAGCGGTAAGAGTGGTGGTATCTCGTTGGTGCTCGAGAGATAAAGTTTTACACATTGTGGAAGTTTCGAGAACTTCAAGGTGGTTCCAGCTTTAGGAAACTGTGACAACTTCAGGGATATTCGTAGAACTTCCTCGAAGTCAAGAAAATTTTGGAGATGTCCAGAAAACTAGATGAAAATTGTAAAAACTTTAAAGATGTTCCAAGAAGCTCAGAGAAGCTAGTTTTAGAGATCTTTAGATAAGTTCAGAGATTTTAAGGGTAGCTCCAATAACTTCAGAAATATTCCGAGAGTTTTAGGAAATACCGGTATTTTTGGAAGTTCGATCAACAATATGTAATGGCAAGTTTCAAAAAAATAAGGTCAGTACCAAGAATTTAAGGATAGTTTCTGTCGTGACTGGACCGAGGTTTTCAGCCTCAGTCATGGTTCCACGAATGTGCTGCTCCCTCTGTTGGTCCGCTAGTGCCGCTATCCCTGCTGGTGGTCCTTTGCTTGTCATCCGCTCTCTCCACAGTCCGTCCTAAGAATACCGTCAACGAGCTTAGGTACCTTATATTTATACTTCTAGCTGTATCAAAATTTCCGAACCAATCAGATTCCGTTTACATACGGTCTATCACGCTTCACGCTAACTCGATTCTACTCATTTCTATTCCACACTAACTCTATCTACTACATTATTCCCCTTTCCTACTCTCCTTAATTGAGGATCGGGGCAATTTATCAACCCTCTCGAGGGAATTTCTTCTACCTTCTCGGAGGAATTTCTTCTACCTTCTCGGAGTAATTCCTTCTATCTTCTCGGAGTAATTTCTTCTACCTTCTCGGAGTAATTTCTTCTACCTTTTCGGAGGAATTTCTTCTACCTTCTGGGAGGAATTTCTTCTACCTTCTCGGAGGAATTTCTTCTACTCTCTTGGAGGAATGACTACTACCCTCTCGGAGAAATTTCTTCTACCTTCTCGGAGGAATTTCTTCTGCCTTCTCGGGGGAATGTCTTCTACCTTCTCGCAGGAATTTCTTTACCTTCTCAGAGGAATGTCTTCTACCTTCTCGGAGGAATTTCTTCTACCTTCTCGGAGGAATTTCTTCTACCTTCTCGGAGGAATTTCTTCTACCTTTTCGGAGTAATTTCTTCGACCTTCTCGGAGGAATGTCTTCTACCTTCTGGGAGGAATTTCTTCTACCTTCTCGCAGGAATTTCTTCTACCCTTTTGGAGAAATTTCTTCTACCTTCTCGGAGGAATTTCTTCTACCCTCTCGGAGGAATTACTTCTACCTTCTCGGAGGAATGTCTTCTACCTTCTCGGAGGAATGTCTTCTACCTTCTCGCAGGAATTTCTTTTACCTTCTCAGAGGAATGTCTTCTACCTTCTCGGAGGAATTTCTTCTACCTTCTCGGAGGAATGTCTACTATTCTCTCGGAGGAATTTCTTCTACCTTCTCGGAGGAATTTATTCTACCTTCTCGGAGGAATGTCTTCTACCTTTTCGCAGGAATTTCTTTTACCTTCTCAGAGGAATTCCTTCTACCTTCTCGGATGAATTTCTTCTACCTTCTCGGAGGAATGTCTACTATTCTCTCGGAGGAATTGATTCTACCTTCTCGGAGGAATTTCTTCTACCTTCTCGGAGGAATTTATTCCACCTTCTCGGAGGAATTTCTTCTACCTTCTCGGAGGAATTTATTCTACCTTCTCGGAGGAATTTCTTCTACCTTCTCGGAGGAATTTCTTCTGCCTTCTAGGAGGAATGTATTCTACCTCCTCGGAGGAATTTCGTCTACTTTCTCGGAGGAATGTCTTCTACCTTCTCGGAGAAATGTCTTCTACCCTCTCAGGGGAATTTCAACTGCCCTCTCAGGGAGCGCCAGTGGCATCCTCGCAAGAAAGAGGATGGTTCTCACTTACCGATTTGCGCCATTGTCGTGATTGGACCGAGGTTTCTAGCCTCAGTCACGGTTCCACGAATTTGCTGCTCCCTCTGTTGGTCCGCTAGTGCCACTATCCCTTCTGCTGGAACTATCAATTCTATAATTTCATCTCCTCATCTATCGTATAAAATGTTCACTTTATGTCAGATATTGCCATTAACTACCCAAACGAAATGTGGGCGGAAGCGGAACAAAAACAGCAAGTTTGACAGTTGTCACAAATTACATCAAGATGCCTAACCGAAGTCTATTTGGTTCTAACTAGTTTTCAATCCGGTTTACTCAGATCGGGCTTTTCCGCTGTCATTGCGCGTGGGTCTTAAGCATCTCCAACTATAGGTATTTTAAGCTTTTTGCCTGCATAATTGTTTGTTAGGAATATGAGGGAAGTTTAGAGATTCTGAAAGAGGAAGTTTCGAAAACTTCAGGATCTTCAGGAAAGATCATTGAACTTCAAGATGTTCACTAAACTTCAGGATATAGACGGGAACTTTTTAAATGATCTGAGAAATTCAGGGAAGCTTCGAAAACGTCATAAAAGACTGGACTCTAGGGGTGGTCACTCTACACACGCATTTTGCGCCAATTTTTTTCTCAGTGTGCCTCACGTGTGCCGGCAGTGTCATCTAGAAACACTGAAATAATTCCAGAATTATTCCAGTGTTTCTAGTGTCACCAGACTGATTTTTTTGTTTGTATAAACGTATGTTTGGCAACCCAGTTAATTTGACAGTTCACATGTTTTGTTTTGAAGAAACAAAACAACAAGCAGTAGAATCCTATCCCAGATCCTAACTGTCGTGAATCTCGGTTCGTTGCTCTCAAATTATATCGCAAAAGAACTACACTGAACCTAATATTTAAGCAACGGCCTTAGCCATCGAATCCGAGTTTTGGAGCAATAATGTTCTCCGGGAGGCCTCAAAAATGTGTAAATTGTTTTGGCATCAAGTTTCTTCCGCAATGCGAAAGTGTTCGACGGAAGGCTGGTCCGGTAATACGGATTAGGAGGCGGATTGGTGGAGTGATACGAAGATAAGGTGGCGGTTAACATCCGCAGGTGATGCGCTATAACTTGCGTGACGGTTTCAATCGGTGGCGGTGATAGAAGAAGAAAGAAAAAGCGTGATTGAGACTGCTTTTGGCAGGATTGCTGCTGAAGGGGCGAAGGGTCTATGCGGGGAGGCCCAGTGTGCATATGTGTGCGAGGGGAGCGCAAGGGTAGCTGCGTTTAAGAGTGGAAATTGTGGATTTCACGCCGAACGGTAGCGATAATTTCGAGTGCGAGAAGGCAGGAAAGGGGAAAAAAAGAAGAAGCTGATAGTGCGGGGAAAATAAAAAGCCAAAAATATAGCGGCAAACAGTAGTGTGTGAGTGAGCAGTGAGCACCCTAAAGGAATACAGAGTAAAGCGGTGGTGAAATTCTGTGAGACGAAGAGAGTAGAAAGAGAAGCAAAAAGAAAACGGTGAAAGAAAGCGGCAGCGGTTTTAATGCAGCGACAACCGATAGTAGGAGAGTGAGTGCCACATAGGTGTTTCATCTTCTCGTAGTAGGGGTTAAAAGAGAAAAAGAAGGAGAAGAACAGTGAAGTCCGACCGCAACGCGGTCCGCAAGAAAATAGTTTCCCTAGAAGCCCTTCAATTTAGTGAAGAGGAAGAAAGTGCTGAGTGGATGCGATGATGCGCGTTGGTGTCGGCCAAATGTTGTAAAGGATCGTGATCGGATTTACCGGGAAATACCGATTGGAGCTTACGGCCATTAAGGACAGGTAAGTAGTTGGTCCATCAAGGTAAGATAAATTAATAAACATATAAAGTATCCGTTCGATTTTGGCAACACGTTCTCAGTATATTTAAACTGCTTGTGCTCTGCAGTTATATTATTAAATTCTGTTTAATAATTTTCTTAGATTTTCAGTAAAATTGTGGAGCTTTAAACGTCACCTGCAGGCCTGTTCTGCGAGTAGTATGGCTCTCTGTCGCTAGTAGGGTGACGGTGGTCGCCTCGTGTGAGGTGACTCTTCATTTGATTGCACGGAGAGTCACCCCTTTAGTGCGTGACTTTTGTTGACTCATTGGTGGTGGAGATTCGCACGACTTGCGGAATAGGTCAGATGATAAGATTTGCATTTATCAAAGATTTTGAAAAGCTAAGAAGGCAAAATTGTGTTGACAAAATCTAACGGGTAATGCTGATATTAATATATATATATATATACACACATACACACATTAAATGCAAAGGGGAGGGATGGGACCACCAGGGCACCGGATTGAAGCGATTTGGATGGGGAGAGTGGAATTGCCAACTCCCTGTCATTAACATTTCGTGAATTGACGGCGGGCTCTTCTCCCCACTCATTGGGACGTTCCCTCGTATGATGGCTTGTTCTACATCGGGTTGTAGGATTTTATCATTGGAAGGCGATTCTCCTGATCCCACGGATTGCGCGTAAGTGTATCTGCTTACGGGTCCGCCCCTCCGTTTTTGGCCCTTCTTACAATGGTAAATTGAATACAACCAGGTATCGTACTTGATCAAGTCATACTTGGAGGATGATCCACTGTCTAATGGCTGTGCCTTGCAACAATGAGTGGTATCCTTTACATACATACATACACATACAATAATGTTCTCCGGGAGGCCTTCCAATCTCCGACAGGATAATAGCTTCTACTGGATTGGAGTATGATGAGGACTCGGATTAAACACAGGTGACGCTGACAAGTAGACGTAGCGAGCGTGCATCATCAGAGGAAACTGGTCCAGATGCTTTTCAGATTCTGATGAACGCTTCCGGAAGGAGTTTCGCCCAAAAGCCATCGACTCAACCAAAGTTGCATCGCCAGCGTTCTAGTGGGAGTTTCAACCGAAATCAGACTTCCCTGGTGGATACTCGGGTGGATATGGGGTTTAATATTTCCCTACGGTAAGATAGTCCAACGATCGGACAAATGGAGAGAAGCATGATGTCTCTGGTGAATAGCAGTGCCGGCCAGAGAACACCTGTAAAAGCTGGGGTGCTGTCGATGGTAGAAAAGCAAACACCGTTGATCTTAGAAGGCGAATACATCTACATATGTCAGTTACGATGAGGAACGAATGATGGAACTGAAGGTTGGTTAGCTAATCCTCAGGCTGATCAACGAAGTGGAGAAGAGTTACGGAATCAAACATGCTAAACGACCACTGATAAAACTACTACAGCCAGATGGTGGCTTTGTATGGACACCGATCCTCTTACGACCTTCTGTGCGGCTCGGATTCCATCATCAATTCGTACCTCATAGAGTTCGAAAAGCTGCGTTCGGATCAGTTCTACGAGGATGATTGCAAACACCGCGATGTTAAAATGCTTACCAAACTGCTCCAATCGCTGGCACCATGGAAAACACCGGTCTCTTTACACTTCGCAGGGACTTCTTCTCTGCTAAGCCTAAATATTCTATTTCAAGCCACCAGGGTCGTGTCTAAGAGCTATCCTTCAACCAACTCACCGATGTCAACTTTCAGGAGCTCACCTTCAAGCCCAAAAACTGACCAATCAACATTTTACAATTCCACTTAACCTCCTTGGGCTGTGATTTCAGTTCCATCACGAATCTCCCCACCACAAATAGATCTACCACCATCTTTAACGTTCCTTTCACTTCCTCCTTCAGGGTTTCGCTCTCCCCACTAACCAACTCACTAATCACATTCTGAATCGGCATTAAGACCAGTAGCAGCATAGAGGTAACTCTAAGACTAGAAGGTCCCGAAATAACGTGCGCAACTTTTTGGCTCAGCTCTGGTACTCTCTTCGGTCCCAAGCTAATCGATTCACCCCTCGAAACATACACACTAATCGAGTCAGTACGGTTTTACCGAGTTTTTGAATTGCGGAACTGTTCGGTAAAAGTTTAAAAATCTGTGGAAAATTTATTAATGATAAAATTTGTTCTGAACTTGTACATACATAGTTCTGTTAACCCCATTTAATGATAGAAAATAAAATTGGTCGATTTCATTGATTCCTTACGGATAACGGTCATTTGAATTTTTACCGACTTTTTCAGCAATTCAAAAACCCAGTAAAAAATACTGACTCCTGTAAAAAAATCTTAGTGTGTAGGAAAAACCAATAACCCCTCATTTTATCTGTCAAAATTTCATAGCGAATCAAAACAAACATTGCGTAGTACTAGAATTTCGACTAGAATGGGGTACGTTAATCGTTTGCTTGGGACCAATAGGCTAGTCAAGTAGTGAGCCAATTTAAAATCGTTAGTTTCGTATTGATTGTTGGTAGCAGTCCCTTCATGGTCATCTTTTCAATCAGCTTCCGGAACTTCCCAACTTCGATCAAACTGTTCTGAAACACCAAAGCCTTCCGCACCAGATCCTCGAACAGTTCGGTCGTCTTGAGTGGAGTTTCTTCGATCTCGAAGCCTTCCGGTAGCGACCCCAGCACCATCCGGAAGAATTCCAGTAAGACCCCCAGATTACTGTTGTACTTGGCAAAGGTCATCGCCTTGATGACCTCGCTCATCCTAATGTTTTGGCAATATGTCCGCTGTGAGGAAATTCACGGTTGAAGTTATGATTATGAAATCAAAAATCGGATTGTCTCAACAACAATGATTATTATTTTGACACATGCACAGAGCAGGCGCAGGTGTCATAGGTGCTAATGAAAGTGCCCAGGTGTGTCCGTCTGTATTTTTGGCTTACTGTGCGGAGTGACCAACCCCTTGACTAGACTCTAGTTCTGATTAATTATGAAAAAAATTTAAAAAATCCTAAAACTGTATCTTAAAACTGCATTACAGGAACCTTGAAGAAGTTCTGGGAATTTTCGGAGAAGTACACAGAATTCTAAGTGTAATTAAGGCAATTTTAGCAAAACATGATGAACGTCACAGAAGTACTCATCTCCAGTGAAATTTGGGAAATTCTAGGAAAACTTTAAGAACTTCAGAAAAGTTCTAAAAACTTCACGATAACTGCGAAAACTCCAGAGAATGGTGATTATACAGAAACAGTTTATAGTATTGCAGAAGCATCAGAGAAGATTATTGCAGTTCCATTAATTTCAGGAAAATAAAACGAAAGGCATTTTGAAAGAGAAATTGCGAGAACATCAGGCAAAATCAAAGAACCTTCTGAGAAATTTCTCAACTACAGCCTAAACGCAGATATTTTACAAAAGTTTATAGTGCTGAGAAGTTTAGCAATGCTTCTGGAAGTTCCAAGAATGCCTCGAAAATTACGGAACCTTCTAAATCTTGATTTATAACCGGGGTTAAAAAATAACGATGTGCTCAGAAAACGAAGCTCTGTATAAAAACCGATACATTTTTTTCAAAATTAAAGATTCCTAATTCATCTCGTCCGTTCCGTACTGGGTGTTATTTCACTCAACGTCATTGAAACGATATCAACATCGATTACTCCGAAACGATATTTTGTTGTTGAATCCATACATAAGTTCATGAACGTTGTGCCTGATCATGTTATAAATCGTATGGAATCCAAATTTTTTTCTTTGTTTTATAATATATTTATTACAGGATTCGTTACAGATTACAGATTGTCGGCAAAGTGGCACAATGAAAAACTGCTGCTGGGGCCCAGTACAGGACATGAATTATGTGTCATTAAACTGAACATCCTGCGCTAATTAAGTAGTTACTAATGTTTACGCTTATTAACTAAGACCTTCAACGATTCAACGTACCTCGAACATCCTTAAATGACATCCTTGCTGAAATCCTGAAACTTTCCACCCGGACCGGATCAATGAATGTGACTCAACAAATCGGCACCCTCTCAAATTACTCCCTGTTTAGGTCCAAAACCGTTGCCTTGACAACACCTGTCGCTTGCGGGCATAGAAGTTCGATTTTTGCTCGGGTTCACCTGCTTGGCACTCCGACAACCCGTGTCCCGTGAGCGATGTCAACAAAAGCTGCACACGTGAGCTAGTGTGCGTATGGGAGAGCGACCGAGAGAGAATCGTATACGTGAGAGCGAAGCTCTCTTTCACAATCGCTATAATCACATCGATACTTCCTCAAAGTCAAGCTAAAAGCCACCGATGTCGGGTCGGTGTCGAGCAGACTGCTTTCAGCGGATACAGTCGATGTCACGGGGTCCACTCGAGCGAGAGAGAGCCAGCGCTGGAGCGCGACGACGACGACAAAACACAAAACGTCAAATCAAAACATTAAAATTTTCACACGGAACGGACGGACGGAACGAAAACGAACGACGGGAGTGTACCTGGTGGTGTCTTCTCTGTGGCTGATTGTGTGTATTAGAACATAGCAAAAAAAAAAAAACTGCTTCGGAACGAGTGAAAAATCCTGCCGTAAATGATCGATTTTGTGACGAATTTCGCGTTCGAATGGTTAACGGGTCGGTACGTAGTGGAATTCCGAACTGGAAGTAGTGTTTTGGAAACGGGTCTGGTCCCAAATCGTCTCCCCGTCACAGGTGGTGCTAGAGTGTTTTGATATGTGTGTGGATGGCATAAGAGTGTAGTAAACGGGGTGAAATAATAGTGAAAAAATTGTAGTCATTTGTTGCTTCAACGACGGGGGGTTGGTTCCTCCCACATCCAGAGGGTTGGAGGAGAAAAAGAAGCAGTGTGTGATTGGGAATCAGTGCACGAGAGATTTCTCGAAGGAACGGGTGGGGGAAGAGAACGAGATCTTGAAGGATCCGTCAAGGACTCTCGGTCTTGATTGGCTGGCTTGATTGCTCTTCTTGTGGCTGTCCTTGCCAGACATCGGCATCGAATCAAGTGCATCACTGCAAGCGATCATCGTCATCGCCGTAACCATCATTGTCGTCGGCAGCAGGTAGAAGAGAAAAACAGCATCCGTCGTCGGGTCGCTGCCAATCGGTTGGGATAAAACAAGACGACGATCACACAGAGCGCAAGGAGAGACACAGATAGACGAACGACCGGACGGACGGACGGTGTACATTTCTTGCAAATTGGCACCTTCCTCCCGGTCTTGTTGCTGCAGGCGGCGACGGCGGTGGACGAAGCGGATGCCTTTCAATGCTCGGTGAAGGTAATATTCATTTGCAGATTTGCCTTATTGAATCGGTCATCGGGTGGGTGGATATTAGCAGCTGAATGAGAATCAGTTACTCATATTTGAGCTTGTTACGATTTTTTGAAGTCATTTTTTTTACGTCTCAAATGCAAGTAATCTCGGAAACGTGACCAATCCCGCATTACGCAAAAAAAAAATCAATCAACGCCAAATCTATAGCGATTTAGATTGCACTTCATTATGCTTCTCAATTTCTCATCTCAAACCCAGATGGAGAGCATATCTCTAACAGTGCACGGAAATGTCTGCTAAGACAACACAACAAAGTATCCTCTTACAAACCACCTACCTACTTCCACCTTCCGTCTTACACAGATTAAATCCCGCAATTTGTCACGGTAGATTTACAGGTACCGACGGTGGTGGTTGCTTGTAGCCGACCTATAATTAGACTCACTTGCACCATCGTCGTAGGCAATATTGGAGCAATAATCAGCTCAGAAGGAGAACGGGGTGGGAGGACTCAAGCGAGTTTGATTTTTGCCATTTCAACTCTTCATGAGCAGCAGCATCGGCCACTGTATCGTTCGCGTGAGTGCGTGCCCCCGTCGCAAGGCGTGTAATGTGCTTTACCACCGTAGGGTGGGGAGAGTTTGAAATCGGCTCTTGCGGCATTGCTTATTTTAGCTCTACGGATCTCAACAGAAGAAGAACTCGATTGATCAGTACTAAAATATCATGGCCTTTGCATAGAAATGACAAAACAGGTCCTATCACTATCACGAGACGATCACGTCTCGAGAGAATTTAGTTTTGGTTCCGATCCAGAGTGGAAGAATCGTTTGTGAAGCAATCCAGAACCAGAGTGCAGTTTGGATGTAAATATCAGAAAAAAAAAACAATTCCTGCGACAAACGGAACGAGAAAATGTTAGCAGAAAGAGATGTTCAAGATACCGAGAGTCTTGCAACTATCTCTAGCAATCAACTTAGTTATTTTTCGTAATCAGTGAGTTCATTCCATGCAACCAAACCCAAATCCATTAGTAGTTTAACTAAGCTCTGCTACTATGTAACATGTATTAGAGATATTCTGAGCCTATTCTGCGATAACTAATTAAGATCAACAATTGAAACTACGGAACGTGAAAGTTGAGATCGGAAGTGCTGCTGATCTGAGAACTGCGTATGTAAAGAATGATTTAGAAATTAGTACAGAACTATTTGAGCCATTATAAGGACAGCCTCTGCTTCCAAAAAGTGTTGCCTCACTGTTGCGGATATGAGAAACTCGATATCATGATGGCTCATATATGGACAATTACCTTAACCTTCGAAGATGTTCACACGAAGAGCACAAAGAACTTCGGCGAGGACGCAGTAGTATCATAGAGGTAACTCTAAGACTAGTAGGTTCCGAAGATATGTGCTCAACTTTTTGGCTCAGCTCTGGTACTATCTTCGGTCCCAATCTAATCGATTCACCCCTCGAAACATAGGAAAATTCACTAACCCTCATTTTATATGTCAAACTTTCATAGCGAATCAAAACTAACATTGTGTAGTACGAGAGTTTTGACTAGAATGGGGTACGTTAATCGATTTGTTTGGGACCAATAGGCTAGTCAAGTAGTGAGCCAATTTAAAATTGTCAGTTTCCACCGGTTGGTAGTATCGTTTCTATTACGGAGACTAAGAGAGTAATTTAATGCGTTGACAACCGCTTTGGAGACATGTGGACCTGACCCTAATCTGGTACGTGATCAATTGGGTTGGTTGGAAAAGCTATTTTTTTTATACAGGGGGGAATCTGTTCACAGACACCTGAGAAAGTAACTCAGGGTGTGGGGATGGGAGAATTGCACTCCCGACCCACTAAATCCCAACCTCTGCGCTTGGCCCTTGACCTCCCCGGACCGCCCGAAGGCATTACTTCGTGGGAGAGGCCTGTGCGTTATAGCGCTCCTCTAGCCATACTCTACCGCTCTAGTCGGGCAGTAGGCAACTACTGCTCGGCACGCCACCACCGCGCTCCAGATCTCGGTGGTACCACACATCCTAGGGACGATGTTATCCGGACTGGTATCCGCTCCGCATATCGCTAACATAACGCTCGTTATTGGCTCGAAGCGTAGACAGGCGAACACAACGTGTTCCGCCGTCTCTTCGACACCAGCGCACGTGGGGCAGGGGGGAGTACTTGCATGTCCGAACCTATGCAAGTAACTCCTAAAGCAGCCATCGCCTGACAGGAACTGTGTCAGGTGGAAGTTTACTTCCCCATTGCGCCTGTTGACTCAGCTTGATACGGAAGGTATCAAGCGGTAGGTCCACCTTCCCTTTGTGGAGTTTTCCCACTCCGACTGCCACCTCGCAATCGATACCGCGCGCGCGTTGTTGCGCACCCCTCGAACGGTCCTCGTGTCATAGCACTCTACATCCTCCTTGATGATGAGGCCGATTGGCATCATTCCTGCTATGACACAGACGGCCTCCCTCGAGATGGTGCGGTATGCACTGGCCACCCTCAAGCACATTAGCCTGTGTGTACTCTCTAATTTCCGCCTGTGACAGTCAGTATCCAGTACCGCAACCCACGCTGGGCCTCCGTATCTGAGGATAGATACTACGACCCCGGCGAGGAGCCTGCGCTTACTGGCATTCACCGCCGAGCTGTTTGACATCATGCCCCCACAGCCGTAGACGCTCTCTTGCAGGCGTACTCGACGTGGCAGCCGAAGCTGAGCTTATCATCGAGCATAACCCCCAAGAGTTTCAGAAAGCTCTCAGACCTAATTGTGCTCTCGCCAACCGTCAACGTCGCATGCTGCACCGACATGCGATTGTTGACTACGACCACCTCCGTCTTGTGATGGGCAAGCTCAGTTTCCTGGATCGCATCCATTCCTCCACAAGCTTAACGGAGTGAGCCGCTGTCAGCTCTACCTCTTCGAGGGATTCCCCGTAGACTACCAGCGTGACATCGTCGGCAAAACCAACGATTTTCACGCCTACTGGGAATCTTATCCTCAACACTCCATCGTAACACCGGGCTCAGGATGGAGCCTTGTGGCACTCCTGCGGTGACTCTAACGCATTTTTCGCCATCTTCTGTGTCATACTTCAACACACGATTCTGGAAGTAGCTTTCCAGAATCTTGTACAGCCCTCCGGGGATTCGGAGTTGGTGTAGCGAGCGGGCTATCGCCCCCCAGCCCGCGCTGTTGAACACCTTCTTCACGTCTAGAGTTACCACTGCGCAGTAACGAATACCCCTTCTTTTCCGATGGACCACCTCTGCCGTCTGGATGACGTCACGGATGGCTTCCACCGTAGATCTGCCTTTTCGGAACCCGTACTGGCTGCTTGACAGGCCGTCTATACCTTCGGTGTAAGCCGACAGCCTGTTAAGGATGACCCTCTCAAGCAGTTTACCAGTGGTGTCCAGCAAACAAATGGGCCTGTGCACCAGCCTCTGCCGCTTCCACGCATCTGGAAAGATGCCTACGTCCAGACAGGTCTGAAATACAGACCTGAACATGTCTGGATTTTCCGCAACGGTGGCCCTCAGAGCCATAACCGGGATCCAGGCAATTTCGGTCAGTTCACTGTTAGTCACTCTAGACACTTCTCCCTGTTCCGTGACTGGGATACCCCGCGGCCAGGAGTCAACGTCCCTACGTGGAAACAAGAACTGCACGATTGAGGCCAGCATCGCCGGCGATCTATCCGGGTCTTGGCCATGACCACTTTGTAGGGGTTCGTGTTAGCGCTTTGGCATAAGCTGTCGAAGCACGCGTGCTTGCGTCTGGCGATCTCTTTGTTGAGGGCCGCCTTAGCCGCTCGAAGAGCGACGCGGCGTTCCTCTCGAGATTCGGCCGTACGAGCCCGTTGCATCCTCCTTCTCGCGTAGAGGCAAGACGCCCTGAGGATAGCAATCTACTCACTCCACCAGTACACCGGTATATGGCCATGCCTGGGATAGGCTCTCGTAGGCATGATTGTATCGCACGCCCTTGTCAGCGATGCTATCAGTTCTTCCCCCGTCAGATCAAGGGTTATTCGCTCCCGGCTCAGAGCTTCGCTGAAGACCTCTTCATCGAAGAACGACGTCCGCCAGCCTCGAGCGCAGGAGGGACTCCCTCCTGCCACTCGCCTCTCACCTTGCCCCATACTGTAGCGAATCGCCTGATGGTCGCTGTGGGTGTTACCCTCATCGACCCTCCAGTGTAGGTTGCCCTCCAAACACGGGCTGCAGTACGTCACATCAATGACGGATTCTGCACCGTTCCTTCTGTAGGTACTGACCGAACCGGTGTTGGATAGTACAACGTCCAGTTTGGCCATTGCCTCCAGTAAGATACATCCTCTCTGGTTGGTGTGGTGGCTGCCCCACTCCACCGCCCATGCGTTAAAGTCGCCCGCAATGACCACCGGTCTTAGGCCGACAAGTACCGCAGTGAGTCTGTCCACCATCTGCGAGAACTGCACGGTGGACCACCTGGGCGGAGCATAACAGCTACTTAGATATACTCCGTTAACCCTGGCGATCACGAATCCCTCGCTCGAGCTGGACGAGACCACCTCCTGAACAGGGAAGCTCCCCATCGTGCATATCGCCGCCATCCCCAACGCGTCCGTGACCCAATTCCCGTTGCCGGATGGGACCCGGTACGGGTCAGAGATGTTTGCGACATCCACTGCCGATTGCTACAGCAGCTGCTGGGCAGCCGCGCAATGGTTCAGGTTCAACTGTGCTACCTCGAACATGGCTGAACATTGCTCTTGGCCCCGGGAAGCGCGGGCCACCTGCCATGATTTCCCTTTCTCCGCGCATATTGTGCACTTCGGCGGCTTTCGGCAACTTTGCGCCTTATGGCCCTCCGAACCGCACCGTCTGCACAGCTTGCTTCTATCGGTGTTCTTGTAGTCACGAGCCAGATGGCCCTGACCGAAGCACCAGAAGCAAGCCGTAACCGGTCGGGGAATGCTTACGGGGCAAACCGACCAGCCCATTCGCACTCTCCCTGTGGCTGCAGCCTTTCTGGCATCAGTTGCCAGGAGCTTGACGGTAGCCACCTGGGTGGAGAACAGTCCCTTCCTCAGGGTAACCGCTATTGGCACTGCTCCCTGAGCGCCTTGACTAGTTCGATCACCTCTGTCACTTCGTCCAAGTCCTTAACCTGGATGGTGATTGTCGAGCCTAGCGGTTTCACCTGCACCCCATTACCAACGATCTCCTTTGCCAGTTTCTGGTAAGCCGGTCCCTGGTCTTTAGCGCCACGCTTAAGCGTGATGCTCCTCACGTTGTTACCGATCTCCCCAAGACGCTCGTCCGCTCTCATCTTCCTCAAAACTTCCGCGTACTTCGACGCTTCCGTCTTGATGATGAGAGCCTCGCCCTTCGTCTTGTTCTTGTTCCGGGCAGTGCTGCTGTTAGGGGCAGTTTTTTTCCGGGGGTTTCGGGGGAGCGCCCTTGTTACCACCCTGTTTGGAACCACCACTTTTTTCAATCGCTCTGTTTCCTATTTTGGGCCACTTCTGCGGCTCGTCCACTGCTGCATTGGACTGTTCGACCACTGCCACACACTATACCTGGGCAGAGACTTTCCGTCTCTTAGGGCGTGACGCACCCTTTACTGGCGAGGGCCGGTCGCGCTTCTGCCCTTGCGTCACGGCAATGTAGAGGGCCTCGCTGGCCATCGTACTGATGCCTGCGAAGTTGAAGGCGTCCGTCTGGGTAGACTTCGGATCCCTCTTCTCCACCCTCTCGGCGACTTCCAGTCGCTTCTTAAGCCGCTCGTGGTCGTCCTGAGCCTCGTTCACAGTTGCGCGGAGGTGTCGCAAGGCCTGCTTGAGGTCCATCTTATTAATTCTGTTTTTTAACTCTCATCTGAATTCTATTGGAATTGCAGTAAATTTTGGGCTTCTAGTTGGCTAACCAGGATTTATAGTCATTATTAGCTGAACCTTAATTGTAGGATAACTATACAATGTATATACATTGATCAATTGGGTTGGTTGGAAATGCTATCTAACATGAAGCTTTAGTGCGATAATTTATTAGCTAGAGAATGATCTTAGAAGAAGGTAGGTAGACAGTTCCGTTAGAGTACGGCAGAATGGAAATTGAATAGAAGTTGAAAATGAGCGAAGGGCCATTAATGCGACAGTTTTTAAAGTCAGACGCACATCTTTTGCCTAACCCGTACGATGTACGCGGAGACTTGAAGTATGTCTTCAAGTCTACAGGCAAAAAATGTGCGTCCTCCTTTTGCTCATAAACTGACTGCGACTGTGGAATAGTTCTAGCGACGTTTTCATCACTACCTAAAGCCCTACGTTGCGAGAGCATTTCCAGTCGATGGTGTGTTATAATGCAATTCTTCTTTACCCAACTATTGTGTTGCTCCTCTCGTCATAAGGTTAAAAGGGACGCAATTTATCGAAATGATCGTCTTGATGGAGCCGGTAGTGGCGTTGCCTTCAAATTCTTCCTTCATTTGAAACCAAAGTTTTTGAAACTTCAGGAGTTTCTGTCGAGACAAAATTTGGACAACTTACATTTTTAGCTGAGCTTCGAATGAGAAAGGGGCTCTTCAAATTATGGTCATGTGAGAATTCGTTTCCACAAAATTGATTGAATGGTTGTATTGGTTCATCTTCAATCGAATGATATGAAAATGAACAGCACTGATTCAGACTATACGAGATTAGTGACGTTTAACGCACGCACACTAGCGGGTGTAGCGCCGTGTAAAGTTGTTTATTATTTTCCTCTGGCTAACCTTAAAAATGTATGAAATTAGATCTGTCAAAATGAGCTTGACAGCGATTTGTTATGTATTTTCCTCGGATTTTTATTTTTGCTGCAGCAATCATACAACGAATGCCACTCAAAAAATAAATCACATAACCAGTAGAAAATATCCATGTGAATTTACCCTAACTTTCATGTGACCCTGTAATTGGAAATTGCACCACTAAATCACATTAACGTTATGTGTCCAATGAAATCTATATGATTACTCACATATAATTTCTTATGTTATGTGATATTCAGATAAAAATCATTATTTTTTGTTCGGGAGAAAACTTTCTTGGCGGAATGTAAAAGAAACACCTCTCTGTTAGCAGGTTACTCAACGCAGTTCAGCATGACAGCTGCGGTTAATGCTCGTCCGCACATTCGTAACGGGCGTAACCGGGACTCACTTGGTAGCCGGTGGCGACTGCTCTGTGGGTTCGCCAACCCGTGTAGGTCCGGTTCGCTTTAATTCTCCTCTTCTGGCTCTCCAGATGATTCCTGAATGTCCAGCAAAGCAAGCTTGGTTGCCGGTCGGAAGTGTGCACCACTGCTCTTCGAACCTGACCATCCTTTCCTGACACTACATCCGTGATCCTCCCTCGCAGCCATCCGTTGCGCTTGCCTTCGTCGACCACGAGCACCAAGTCACCGGATTTCAAAGGTTTTACCGGTTGGAACCACTTGGTGCGTCGGGTAAGTGTAGGTAAATATTCGTGTACCCAGCGGCTCCAGAAAGTATCAACTAGATTCTGGGCAAGCTTCCAGCTGTCCCGTAGAGTTGCGTGGTCTTGCACCAGATCCCGGCTAGGTTGGTTGATGCCTTGCGTCCCGTAGACCAAGAAGTGGTTCGGCGTGAGAGCCTCTTGCTCCAAATGATCCAAGGGGATATAGGTTAGCGGTCTCGAGTTAACTATCGACTACGCTTCGAGCGTGACGGTTTCCAGGACCTCGTCACTGGGGTGATGTGGATGGTCTACGATTGCCGCCATTGCCACCTTCACTGACCTGACCATGCGCTACCACGGTCCTCCCATGTGGGGCGCTAGGGGTGGATTGAATAGCCATCTCGTACTCACATTTGTGAATGTCACACTACAGTGTTCATTTATGGGTTTCAGCTGCTCCTTCAGCAAGTTGCTGGCTCCCACAAAGTTGGTCCCGTTGTCTGAGCAAAACGTTCCCGGGGAGCCCCGACGTGCCACAAACCTTCTTATGGCCATCACGCACGACTGAGTGGACAGGCTGTGGACGATCTAGAGATGAACTGCTCTGATGGACAGGCACGTGAAGAGCACTACCCAACGCTTGACTAAGCAGCGACCTTGTTTTACGAAGACGGGCCCGAAGTAGTCCACCCCAGTGTGCGTGAATGGCCGTATGAAAGCGGTCAGCCGGATTTCTGGAAGAGGCGCCATGATCGGTGCCTGAGGTGCTGCCTTCTGGATTTGACAATCTTGGCACTGCTTGGCTACCTTTGCAATCACTGCGCGAAGTTGTTGAATCCGGAAACGCTGTCGTATCTCGTTGACTACCGTTTCGTTGTTCCCATGTAGAAAACGGACATGATAGTGTTCCACGAGCAACTCCGCACCCGATGATCCTTGGGGAGGAAGATTGGATACCTCACATCCTTTGGTACCATCGGTGCAGCTATTATTCGACTATTCATACGAAGAACTCCATCGTCGTCCAGCATCGGAGTCATCGTGTACAACGCGCTCGATCCTGCCATCTGCTTCGGCTCCGCGTCCGGGTGCTCTGCTTCTGCACCTGCTGCCAGATCAGAGTTTCGGCCCTTCGCAACTCTTCTTGCGTAAGTGAACCCTTTGCATTCATACCCAGGAACACCTTTGTCGCACGAACAACGTATCCGGTCGTCCGCTGTAGCCTCGACCACTTGGAGAATCGTTGAAAATTTATCACCGGCGGTGGTGTGACTCGATGATGTAGAAAGACCGTTCGCAAATCCTCTGCCGTCGAAAAATCCTCCGAAATGCCCTTTCGCCAGTTCTCGTCCGGTTTCATCAGGAAAGTCGGTCCTACATACCACCAGCCGTCGGGTCTGAAACTGGGTCCGTCTCTCCACTTCGTTGCTTGATCCGCTACGTTCACTTTTGATTGTACCTTTCGCCACTCGTCCACGGTAGTCGTGCTCAGAATTTCTCCTACCCGGAAGCCGACGAATTGATGATATCGTCGTGTCTCGGATTTCAACCACGCAAGGACGGTCGTCGAGTCTGACCAGAGGTATCGAGCAGCCACTGGTATCGTCAGCGCCTTACAAATGTTGTCCAGCAGTCGGGAGCCGATTAAGGCTGCCTGCAATTCTAGCCTCGGTATTGAGAGGGGTTTTAACGGCGCTACCTTAGTCTTCGCGGCTATCAGCGTGCATCGAGGCATCCCATTGCGCATACTTCGAAGATACGCTACACAGGCGTACGCGTTCTCGCTTGCATCGACAAAGACGTGAATCTGCGAATCGCTCGGTGTAGCTCCGGTTGCCGAGAAGAAGCATCTGGGGACTTTGACTTCACTTATATTCACCAGCAATCCGATCCACTGGCGCCAGTCTTCCAGTATTTCTCCTAAACCTGCTGTTGTGCGAGCAACCGACAGGAAGAAAAAGATTTCCAATTCTCTAACATTTATTTCACGGGATGTTAAAAAATCCGTTTACTGTTCTTCTAGTAATAAATCTGTCCGTACTCGCAACAATCCGTACTATTTATGTGTAGCTTTTGTCTTTTGTGTAGTTAGTAGTATAGTTTGTAAGTAGTTCATAAGTTTGCAAAACACCGCCCTAGTATTTAATCTATCCACATGGAAGTTGTTCACTCTTTTTTCCTACCAAGAAAAAACTTCCACATCATCGCGTTTGACAGCTGGAAACCACGGTCGGAGTTGGATTCTGGTGGCGAGGTTTTTGTGGTCGATTCTGCCACCGAGGTTGTTGTGGTAGGAGAGGTGCATCACAAGGCACAGGGTTGTGACACTCCCCCTCGGTACGCCGCTGTTGTTCGAGTGGCTTACCACCGTTTGCACCGACGTCTAGCACCGCAATCTTGGTCGCTGGTCTCTCCAGAAGTCCGCTATCTGAACGGTCACGCGCCGAACCTGTCCGTCGGTTGCCTGAACTGCCTTGACCACGCGTCCTCGCGGCCAACAGTTTCTCGGAAGCTTGGAGTCAGCTATCAACACCAGATCACCTTCCTGGATAGGTTTTACGGGTTGAAACCACTTTGTCTTGCGTGTCAACGTAGGCAAGTACTCGTCAATCCACTTCTTCCAGAAGTTGTCGGCGTATACCTGGGCCATCTTCCACGATCGCTTCAGCACAGTGGGACTGTAGAAAATGATTGGGGGCTTACTCCCATCCGAAGAACCTAACAGAAAGTGGTTCGGTGTTAAGGGGGGGTCAGTGTCATTATCTAGAGGTATGTCAGTGAGCGGTCTTGTGTTCAATATCATCTCGATCTCCATTAACATGGAACGAATAATTTCATCCGAAGGCAAACGCGGGGGGTCGAAATCGTTCATGGTCTTCTTGACAGACTGGATCAGGCGCTCCCAGCATCCACCAAAATGTGGAGCGGTCGGAGGGTTGAACGTCCACTTGGTGTTAAGACCGACGAACTCGACCATCAGTTTCTTCTCGTCGACGAGTTTCAGAGCTTCGCGCAGCTCCCTCGAGGCTCCGATGAAGTTCGTTCCTCGATCGCTAATCATCTCGAGCGGTGGACCCCTTCTAGCAATAAAATTGCGTAGCGCTAGGATGCAAGAGTCTGTCGTCAGCGAATGTGCTATTTCAATGTGCACGCCTCTGCTTGTCATACAGGTGAGAAGTACTCCCCATCTTTTCTCGGTACGTCTGCCGACTATCACTGGCATCGGCCCGAAATAGTCGACTCCGGTGTAAGAAAACGGTCGCTGGAATGGTGCCAACCGGGCAGCTGGGAGGTTCCCCATTGCTGGAGGCCTGGGACTCGCTTGCCGAATTTTGCAACGCTGACAATTTCTGCGAACTCGTTCGAACTCTGTACGGAGACGGGGAATGTTGTACTTTAGTCGAATCTGGTTCAGCGCAGTGTGGTGATTCTGGTGACGGTATCTAGCGTGGTAGTCGCCGAGCACTAGATCGAATACGTAGTTGCGCCTGGGCAGAAGGATCGGATTCTTGGTAGATTCATCTACATACTCGCAAGCATCGATACGTCCACGCATCCGTAGAACACCGTGCTCATCGATGACTGGGCTGAGCTTATATAGCGGGCTAGTCTTCGGCAAGGTACGCTCCCATGGCTGCACCTCTGGGTTACTGCTGCAGATCAGTTGGATTTCGTCCTGGTAAGCTTGCTGTTGAACTTGTCGATAGATGATGCTCTCGGCACGATTCAACTCCTCCTGCGTTAGCGGACCAAGTTCTGTGGCCGTTCTATTGATATGCTTACGAAGATTCACCACAAAGCGATGAACGTATGCAACTGTCCTCAACAGCCGTTTCCATTTGGAGAAGCGTTCAAAATATAACAAAGGTTCGGTAATTGTATGATGAAGAACGCTGAGACGGATTTCTTCCGTGGTTGATCCTTGATCTCCGCCATCGCCAGGCCATTCACTTTCAGGCTCCCACAAAAAATCGGGACCACGGAACCAACGACTGTTTGGCTGAAATTCTGGCAACCGTGCCCACTTCGTCCCATCGTCAGCTACGTTCTTTCTGGTCGGAATCCATCTCCACTCGTTTACTTGTGTTGTATCTAGTAGCTCGCTGATCCTGAATGCCACAAATTGGCTGTAGCGTCGGTGATCAGAACGGAGCCAACATACCACATCCCTGGAGTCGGTCCAGAAAACCCGTCGCGATATTTTCATTCGGTGTGAGTTAGACGAGCGCCTATTACGGCCGCTTGCAATTCAAGTCGCGGAATCGAGAGGAATTTGTTTTTGAGCCAACCAGCGCGCACTCCGTATTTCCTTTTTCTTCGAACCTGAAGTAAGCCACGGCAGCCATTCCGTTTTCGCTCGCATCGCAGAAAATATGCAATTCCACGGTATTCGTAGATTCAGCAGACGTCGCATTGCGGTAACAGCGAGGTACGCTCACTTGTCGGACGTTCGGCAACGCTTCTACCCAGGTTATCCATCTTTCGGCTAGCTTCCCGTTGATTTCATCATCCCAGCCGCATCCGGCACGCCAGATTTCCTGAAGTAGGATCTTCAAGTAGATGAGGAAATTGGAGATGAGTCCCATAGGATCGTAAATCGCCATCAACATACGCAGGACTTCTCGTTTGATAGGCATCCTGCTTCCGGAAAGCAACTCCATGTTGTGCTTCGGTGAGATTCGGAACGTAAACGAATCGGTGGCAGTATCCCACCACATGCCTAGCACCTTTTCTGTTGCCATGTCCGCACAAAGGCTCATGTCCTTCTCTGTGGTACTGGTTTCGTGTAAACGCTTGACGACTGCTGATGAATTCGACAACCAGTTACGTATTTCGAAGCCACCCTGTGAGTGAATGGATCGGACTTCGCTCGCTAATTTCACCGCTTCCTCTTCAGTCTCAACGCTGGCCAACATGTCATCGACGTAGTGTTCGTGTTTGATGCACTCGACTGCCCTTGGATAATCTTCCACGAATCTGTCCGCATTCTGGTTCTTAACGTAGTGCGCGCAACTCGGTGAAAATGCTGCACCGAACGTCATTACTTGCACCACGTACACCTCCGGTTCTTCATCAGGATCTCCGCTGATCCACAATATCATCTGGCTTCGTTGGTCTTGCTTTTTCATCCTGACTTGAAAGAACATTTCTCGGATGTCTCCCACAACTGCGACGCGGAATTCTCGGAACTTGAAGAGAACGCTAAGCAACGACACCAACTGATCTGGTCCCGTAAGGAGAAATGAGTTCAAAGAGACACCGTTAACTCTCGCTGCCGCATCGAACACGATACGTATCTTCCCTGGTTTGTTCGGGTTGATTACCGGGAAAATTGGCAAGTACCAGTCATTCGAATGCTTCTGCGATTTCTCCGCCGTTGAAAGCCGCCGAATGTAGCCCTTCTCTTCATATTCAGCCATCTTCGTTCACACTGCCGCACCCAGCTCGAGGTCTCGCTTCATCCGCTTCTGCAGACAGTCCAACCGCTTCAGCGCCATTGCCTTATTGTTTGGCAACTGCACTTGATCGTACCGCCACAATAATCCGGTTTCGTAGCGCTCTCCAGTGAAACGCGTTCCGGATGATAGGATCTGCATCGCTCGTTCCTCGTCCTTTGAGAGTAACGGTTTAGATGATCCGGAGATTCCCAAGGAATCGATCGAGAAGTATTTCTTAAGAGCCACGTTCAATTGCGTTTCCTCGTCCTTAACGCATGGACAAATGTGGAAACTATGATAGCCACTATAGTCAGCGGTCGATGCACCGGATGCCATCTCACACCGTCCGTAAACCAGCCATCCGAGTCGGGTTTTGGATACTATCGGTTCGTTTTCACCTCCTTCGATGCTTCTCAAGGCGTGTCCTAACCGACAGTTGTTCATTCCGATTAGGATTCTGGGGGAAACTCTGTCGTAAGATTCCAGGGGTAACCCAGTCAGGTAGTTGTACTTAGTTGTCAACTGTGACACTAGCATCGACTGCTTTGGTAGAGAAAGATCCCGAACCGTGTGAACCTCAGGGAGCTCGAAGACTTGTTTGGCGCCGTGCGTACCAGAAATCTTCAGCGCTAGGACAACCGACTCTTCTTCCTGCCGCTGATGGCCACCTGTCCAGCTGATACACAACGGATGAGATGTGCCTTTGAGCCCGAGTTCTTTCATGAGACTATGCTCCATTAACGTTGCCGACGATCCGTCGTCAAGGAAAGCAAAGGTTGTCAGCTGCTTCTCCTTGCCATAAATTGTCACAGGCACGTATCTGAAAAGAATCTTTGCTGCCGGCTTCGAATGTGTGTTGCAGCTCTCCGGTGGACTTCCGCTTGGTGACGATTCAGTAACGGTGGGTTTGCTGAACAGGGTTGTGACACCTGCTTTGTAGTTTGTAGTCAAAAAAGCAGTGATTTGCACGAAGGATTGTTGGAGAAATTTAGCGTGAAAAAAATTATAAAAGGCACCAAAATCTTTGAAGATTTGTTCGGGAGAAAACTTTCTTGGCGGGTTGTAAAAAAACACCTCTCTGTTAGCAGGTTACTCAACGCAGTTCAGCATGACAGCTGTGGTTAATGCTCGTCGGCACATTCGTAACGGGCGTAATCGGGACTCACTTGGTAGTCGGCGGCGACTGCCCTGTGGGTTCGCCAACATTTTTGTTATTGGAAAAAATATTATGTGTGTTCCTAATAGAAACTAAGTGGAAACTTGTTTTAGTGTGGGACATGCCATGACCCAAATCGATGACTTTTCGGTGTACTGTAAATTTGCCTCCTGTTTTCCTGTGGGAAACCTAAAAATTCTGCCGGAAAATGAGGAAAATTGACGAAAATCTTACTCAGGAGTAGTACCAATAGACTGAGTGAATCCAATCTTTACTTTTCTCATATTCGTGTATTTTTTTTTAGAAAAACATGAGGCAAATCGACTCATCGCTGAGTTCCTGCACTTTTTGCGATTTAGAGTAAACTGAACTCAAATTTGGGTTGATCTCATTGGCCGCGTAGCAGTTCTTAGGAAAAATGTAGATCCGACAAGAGATATCAAAATTCCCTCCTCGGCACGGTAGTCAACCATTAGCAATATTCACAGTTTGATCGCTCCAGCTAGAATACAGCTCCGATGTACAGGCGCACTGTGATTTGATGCTTCATCGGTGTAATGAAACACGGTGGTTGGCTGACGGAGGCCCTGAGGAAATCTACCTAGTAGGCAATCACCATCATCACTAGCAGTAGATATCACAGCGGCGGTGGCGGTGGCGGTGGCGACCGAGATCGAGGTGAATTAAATTGCTTTTAATATAATGTGTCGCGTATTTATCTTGAGCGCGCGAGAATTGCTGAGGTTCGCGGCTTTTGCTCTCGTCGTCGTGACAAGATTTATGATTAGCTTCGCTCACATTGCACACACGCGCGCGCGCCCGCTCGCTGGGGAGTTTCGGACTGTCTTCTGAATCTGTGAAGCAGAATCGGTGAGTGTGATGGTAGTTGGTTGCCGGTGGATACATACATCTAGTAGTCGGGTTTTGGTAGTTATGGCTGTCCCATGTCTGCTCCGGTGGTGAGTGCAATAATTGCGAGAGACCCACCACCAACACCGCCGCCGCCGTCGATGCCGCCTGCTGCGGTGTGTACACAGAGCCAGTGTGGCGGCGACGATGGCGACTTGGTCTCGGCGGGTGGGGTGTGGTGGACTAATTGGATCAAGATTGATAAGCGGCGGTTGTGCCGTGTCGATTGTACAAAACAGAAGTAGATCGACCGAAAAATCGTGCCAAAAATAGACTTGACATACATTGATTTGTGTGGTGTCCGGTAACGTGCTCCGGCTAGCTGCTGCTGCGGTTGCTGTAGTTGGATTGTTTTGGCAGGATTCGCGGCTTGGCAGTTCCCTTCTGGTGCTAAGCAATCGCGTTTGGCTTCGCTCGAGGAGCTGGTCAGGTTTTTGAAGATGACCTAATTTGGTCAGCTTTTGCAAGGACCTTGGCCGTCACGTTTTGATGTATGTGAATATATCTCCATGGAGAACAAACCGGTCCCCGGACAGTGGGGTTTCCCGAAAAACCAAACTGTAACGTTGCTTCAACCATTCGCTTACACCGTTATCCTAATCCACCTGACCAACGGATTTGATGTGGGTTGCCGTTGTTCGCTTCAAGCTTCATTTTACGCCTCGTCACGTGTAATTAAATTTAGTCACCGTCATGAAACCAGCCAGCTACTGTTGAAGACACCCTTCGTTAATAATAGCGTCAATAGCAACAACAACAACAACAACACCAACAATGTGATTCCTCATCGATTACCGAGTCCAACCTTTTACCAAAGCCCCGTAACAAATAAATGAATCAATCGAGAAAAAAATAATAAATATCGCCGTGGGCTTCACCTTGTTCATTGTAACTTACGTCGTATTTTTCTTCTCCGTTTCTTACCTTTTAGGGAATGTGTATGTACCCTCTTTGGCAACCGCAACACCACACAAGAGAAGCAATAAGCGACCGCAGACGACAGGCAGGTGGTAGTCAATACCTAGTTGCTACTAAGTATCTGCTTACCGTCATTCGGTTTCACAGACTGCAAGCTTAAGCATCCGGATTCAGGCGACTTCGAATCGATTCAAATCCATTCCTGACTCCCCCTACCCAGACGACGACGACGGCGGCCGTGTGAATGATGACCAGTGTAAAGTCGGAGGCAACAACGCCGACGACGAGGAAGACGGTGATATCGACGAGAGTAACGAGCGGAAAGTGAGAGTAGATTCAGAAGCCAAGTGCGACAATTCAGTCAAGGACAGCTCGACGAAGAAATCGGGCAGAGGAACACGGGATCACCATCGTCACCAACCAGCCAACAACATCATGTCGGAGGTGAGTTCTTTTCAGTCAGTGGATGTGACAGATTTATGAGCAGGTCGTCCCCCAGAATGAGATTTTCGTCGAAGATCGTCTGGCTGTGTGGCAGAGATCAAAAGGATGAAACGCCGTTGAATGGTTCGGAGAGTGAGAGAGAGAGAGAGAGAGAGAGAGAGAGAGAGAGAGAGAGAGAGAGAGAGAGAGAGAGAGACGTTGTATGTTTATAGTTCGGTTCGTGCGCTAAATGGGTGGAAATCCATCAGCTTAGACTCAAGTTGAAAATCTATAAACACGCTAAATAACTCCGCTCTGCTCTACGGTCAAGACTTATGATGATGAATGGGATGTGGTGTGGCACGGAGTGCTCGGATTGAATTGTTTTGGTTAGGGACTTACCCGACTTTGGCAACAGCTTTGAGAAACGTGGTCGCGGTGGTCAACTTTTCAGATTCAATCATTTAAACAACGGGTTTTTCCAATGAACCTTCACATCGTAAATCAAAGGTCAACGAGCAGAGATAGAGAGAGAGAGAAAGAGTGCAAACGTACCCGGACTAATTTGTTGCCAAATAGTTAATGGACATGTTTCGGTCGCGGTCGTTGGCAGTGATTCAACTATTTTAATAAACTGTCAATTTGCGAAATACTGGTGACATCTGACAAAGTTGTTGCCGATGGTTTTCATACTCCAGAAAAATTGCATTTGTCGCTGACGTAAGCCTCTCGGCGAAGCCGGATAATAAGTGATAGGTAAACATTGAGAGCAAATATAAAACCCCCAGTGTCGGAGCCGAAACGCCTTCCGATGATCAAAACATGTTTCAAATTTATGTTTGGTTTTCCATTTTTCGTTTACGATTGCACTTATTAGGTACTTATTGCACTTATTCCGCTCAGATTTAATGATGCAATGCAAGTTCAACCGCCGCCCCTTCGTTAGTTAATAGTTGCTCTAGTTCGTCACTTGTATTGATCACTGAATTTCGATCGTTAAACGGCAGTGCTGGAATTTTGCTTTTTTTTGTCTAGTTCGTTTATTTGGAAGGCTCAATCGCATTAGCTTTACGGAGCCGATGATTCATTGTTCATTGTTTGTAACAAAATTAACTTATATCTATGTCTAGTAGGAGTTGGGCCGAATAATCGCAGCTTACCCGAGGTTAGAGGGGAACATTATCGAATGATAGGATCAGGGCTGGGGTTTCGATGTCTTATCAGATCGTTATCGCCAGTATGAACGGTAGTGCAGTCTGGAGTTCGACCGACTATGATGACTAGTGGGCGACGATGAGACTCATCGAGACGGGAGGACAAGACAAACAAAAACTAATAAAGTAAAGGGTGATACGGTCAAAATTTGGTCAAGGGAAAACGCGTGTAAATCGGTGAAATCGTTTATTTAAAAAATCAAATTAAATTTCTTTTTCAAGTTCAATTAGTATAAAATTCAGGAAAAATATTCAGTTAGGCTTCCGCTTTTCCAAATCCGAATTGCCAGGCCTTACGCTTGACCCCTGCCATCAGATTTTGTACAGCCACCTTGTCCACCTTCTTCGCCGCAGAAAGCCAG